AGAATGGTTGTTGTGATTAATTCTATTGTTCCAAAAATATGATATCTTGATTCTCTTAATGGAGAATCAAGCAACAAGAAAATATGACCATACTTTTTAGTCGGTAAGTTGAATTTTTTTCATTTGTTATTTCTTGTTATTTTAATTTCCGCCCCCTCCACATACACACTTCTCACATTCATTCGATATTTTTTCTTAAAGCTGTGGTGTTGTATCGCATTATGATCAACAAGAATGTGTCCCTCAGCATGAAGGCATTTTACTCTTTTGAGAAATGGGTCATCATTAAGGTATTCATTTAATTGATCAAGTTTTTAATCAAGAAATCACGATATGTTATACAATTTCATTTATATGTATTTTTTACAGTGTTCACTCCAGCCAGATCAAAGCAATGATTGTAGTTATTATCCGATGAAATTCTTAAACGATGTCATCTTCCATGCCCCTACCACATTATTTGACAAAGAATATATTAAATTTAATTACACTTTAATTATGAATTTTAACCAACTTTAAATAGTTAGCTATTAATTTGAATTTGTTGTGACTATTTGCTTATAATACTTCAAGGACGTCTACTACGTTCGGTATATAGTTGTACATGTGGACGAAATCCTTAAAGAGGTGGCCTAAGTTATGTTCAATATGTGAGTGGCAACAACAATTAAGCTAACCCAATAATTAGTTAGGTGCATACATTTTACACATTACATATTTTTGGCCAATTTTTACGCCTTAGGCCACTTAATTTTGGCAATTTAGTTTATAAATAAGCTATGAGTAGAGATTTTTAAGGGTTTAAGGTTCAAAATATAAGAATTTTAATGTACTTGAATGGTAATCTTAATAAAAACATTAATTGCATTATTTTTTATTGTTGGCTAGTTATTTTATTTTATTTCATGTATCTTTATGTAGGAGGCTACTTTTTATTCAAACAAACTATAAATATTTGACGATTATTTTAAAATAACTATTAAATATTCTTACATACTTGACGATTATTTGAAAATGACTGACAGTTATTTTTAAATAAATGTCTAGTAAGCCCCTAAATATTTGACGATTTTTAACCATCAAGTAAGAATAATTGTAATATATGCTGCACCATTAGCAAAAATAACCATATAGTATTGAGATATCTTGTGACATTGATTTCTTATAAATCTCATATCATGTATGAAGTATAGAAGATATATATAAGTTTATAAGAATAAAAAATTGGTCAAGGATGGCTTTGCTTACAATGCACCTATCTATGGTACACAAATACAAAATACGCATATCATGTACTCCCTTTGGTCTAAAATATGAGTAGTTTTTTGAAAAAATTTGCAAACTAATAAAGTTCTCATTCTCATAAAAATATACACTGTTTTCATTTCTTATACACTCTGTAATGAGTGAAAGATATATTTACACAAGAAAAAAATGTAATATCCTAAAAATTTACCATTTGATAATCAACTTAATTAAAAGTAATTAGGTAAAATTTATGTGGTGTGTGGTCAGCCATAAATTTAGGCTTAAAGTAAAATTTGGTCATGTGGGCATCAAAAGTAGGAAAAAAAGGAGAGAAGCCTTTGTACCAAATATCATGGTGTATTGGGCTAGAAAACATGAATCAATCTCCTGTGTACCACATGTTGTGGTGTATGTGGTGTGCACTGTGGCGCACGACCTATTTTCCACAAAAATAAAGCATAAATAGATGAGAAGAAAGGGAAAGAAAAGAGAGGGAACATAAGAAGCAGCAAGGAGCTTTGCTAGGGTTTGCTTCTAGAGGGAAATTAGAGCATTTTGGAGCTAGTAACTACTAATAGTAAGTTTCATAACTCATCTTCTCTCTTCCCTCTTCCATTTTCATAAGTTGATGGTCAGGGTTTGTAAATGGAAGATGATTTTTTATCCATATAGATTATGGGTTCAAACCCATTGACTCTAATGAGTTAATGGGATTTGTTTTGAGCATCTAAATATAAAAATTATGGGTTTACTCATTAATGGTGGTGATTGGCTATTAATATAAGAAAATGGACATTCAATCTAAGTTATAAGGGTTGTTGAGGTATTAACATCCCTATGTGAAATTGATGATTGTTAGTTAGGGATTAATAGAAGTTAATACACTCAATGGGTAAGTCTAAATATCAGAAATAAGAGCTTTAGATATTTTAAAGATGAAAAATAGAGTTGAAAGTATGCATATGACAATGTTGATGAGTTTAGACTTAATTAATTATAGATTAATCATCCTTACAGCCTTGAAGAACAAGCTTGGAAGTATATATTGAGAGGCAAACTTTTAACTTATTAAAGGTTTAAGGTAACTAGAAGAAACTTATTTTATATAATTGTTCATTAATTGAGTTATAATGCAAGAAATGATTCATTTGCATGAATGACTGAGATTGTGAATGTAAATGCATGCCAAAATCATATGATAATTTATTAACCTTACTTTAACTAAAAATGTGAAGTTGAAATTGAAATGATTTGTAAACTATCATTATATGTTGGAATGAGGAGTATATAGGATGTAATGTGAGGATTGTGTATTTCAAAGCAATTGATGCTTGAGTAAAGTGAAGTGTATATATGATAAGTGATAATTGTTGATGCTCACATGTATTAATTGATTTGAAAATAATAAACTTGTTATAGTAAATTACAAGCATGTATAAATGTGTGTGTGAGTATGAGACATGGCATGATCATTTAATGTGAGTTCGTCTGGAAAGAAGAGTAGAAAAAATCATATAGTATTATATGGCTGCAATTTGGTGCATGAAGACCAGTATTGTCCCATAATTTATTAAAGAACTGTCCCATAATTTGTTGAGAGATTTAAACCTAACTATTTTTGCCTATTTGTTGAGGAAACTAACTTAAGGTTTACGACATCCTAATAAATTGAGAATAGGAGAAGCCATTGTTTGAGAGTGAGTATTGTGATTTTTGGCCGGGTCACACATTATAATTGATGAATTTAGGTAGTCCAGTCACACGGATAATGCCCTGATTGATATTATAACCCATAATTTCAGTCAGAAGAAGTAAGGAGAGTATAAGGAGAAAATCAATCATGCATATATTTATATAATATGTCACATGATTGATAAGTTGGTGACAAGTTGTGATAGTAATTCGGCCATTATCACATATTGTTTTGTATTGGGGAAATGTGCCTTATGATTTGATTGTAAAAAATGATAATAAGATAAATTATAAAATTATGACTTGTGTTGTGTGTAATTTTAAAATTTTGAGTATTTAACTCCCATTTATGTACTTTTATCAATTGATATGCAACTGTATAAGATAGACATACCTTAATTATTGAGTGGTTATCCTCGCCTCTCTCTTTTAATATTTTACATGCTTTAGCTCGAGTGTGGAAAGGAAAAAATCTCTAAAGGCTTAGGAATCTTGTATTCCTATTGTAAAGCCTCCTAACCTCATTTATTGTGTAATAGTTAAAATATTGTCAATTAGAAAATGCATTTTTGGTGGCACTTGTACTATGTTGTTGTTTATAATCTTGGGATGTATTATGGGTCATAAAATGTTGCGTGTAAGTTGTTTAAATGTTGATAAGGCCAAAATATTAATGTAAGTGTAGGGAATATTGTCATGTTGTTGGATTTAAAATTTAATGATTATGCAATGTTAAAACTTCCCCTCTATTTTTAGGTATTAAAGGGATTAAGAAGTGAAATTTTGAAATTGTAGAGATTATGTGTATGTAGTGTGTTGTATAAGTAGCCCTAAAGCCATTGAGTGTGTTCTAGGCGTTAGTGATATCTTTTAGCACATGTATGAAATTTTAGACACCCTTGAGTTGTAAAAAGTTATGAAAATATGTTTGGGTATTCATATTCCTTATGTAACCTAATTTGAAAGTAAAATTCATATCATTAACTATTTTATGAAAAGAGTTTTTTTTATAGATACTTAAATCACATCATTTAAAAGTTGGACAGAAAAATGGAGCGCATCAAAAATTGCCCTTGGTTGTTATCATTTGACAACAAAATGCTATTTAATAGCGTGTAACACACTGTGATATATGGCACATATACCACGGTGTATGGCGCGGGGTAGGATAGTTATGGCACATGTGCACAGGCCGCACGATGTCTCTTTGTTTTTCATTATTCAATATTTTTCAATTAGTTTTGAGTCCTTTAACTTTCATGATATATCCCATACTTTCATAATAATATTTTATTTTGATTAAATGTTTTATTAAATGATGTTTAAGTAATTTTAAATTTAAAAAACTTGGAATCCCATACCTACAGACTTGATAATTTAATTGGATTTAGTCCAATAATTGCCTCGGGTTCTAATTAATTGTGTATTAGTAAAGAAAATTTTATTGCTTATTATCAAGGATTTTACACAAAACACAATTATCAATCATTATAATTTCATCCTGTATTTGGGATTGGAGGGAGTATACAAGTATTGGGTTTATCATGAAAAGGTTGCGGGTTCGGTATTTCGGTTTAACAAAAAAAGCTCATCAATTGCTGACTCAAAATTCAAGTTCCTGTTAAAAAGACTGATCACACCTAGATATATTTATAAGCAACAAAAAAATTACACAGCAAATATACAATAGTTAAGACAGCATATTTGAATTAAAACATGTTGTATGTATCATAACACATAAGATATATATCGTATACGTATTATATATATACACACCTTCATATTTTTCCTCGAAAAAAAAGCGGTACATCGGACCTCCAACAATACCAAGGAGGCAAGAAGACATAGCCAAACGTGATCGTAATTCCTATCCATATCACAGTCAGACGGGGCTTCCTGTTGTATGAATTTAGACAAACCCCTGATTCCCCAGCCAATTCGCTCCATACTCTCTCTCTTTGGAGTATTAGTAGTCCCATAACACAGGAAGGAGGAGGGAAGCATTGAGAGAAGACACACAGGGGAAAGGAAAGGAAAGGAAAGGAGAGGAAAAGAGAAGAAAAGAGCAGGGGAAGAGTGGATAACAGTTGAAAACGAGAAACCGCATCGTCATTCGTCAGCAACAAGTCGCTCCATATCTCAATGTCATAGTAATACCCAACCAACTGGCTTTTACTTCATTCATAAGCTGTGAGCACCCTCTTCTATGCACATTATTATTAAAGCCTTCCCTCGGCTCACACTTTCACATAGGCATACAGATAGAGAAAGAGAAAATCACCTCACTCACAGGCTCACAGGCTCACATCCTACATAGCCTTTTTCTCTCTGGAATCCGCCGAACGAGCTTTTTAATGCGGGTTTAGATAAGGTTTGCGAATCACCCAGGACAGAACAGTACGGTCGCCCCAATCCTTCTTCACCACCTCTCCCAATCAAAGCTGCAGCCTTTTCAGAAGAAAAAACAAGTTTTGATAAAATGGGTCTGTTTCTCACTCTTTCCTCTTCTTCTTCTTAATGGAGACCCTGCTTTGATGGGACTTGGACATCTCTGGGTTTGCTCAATGCAGGCGAGGAGCTCCCCCCCCCCCCTCATTGTCCTTGCTCTGATCTCTCGTTTGACTTTTAGCGATTAACCTTCCTCTGTAGCTACAGATTATTTGATTTTATTTCTAGGTAGCGAGTTTTGTTTGTTGGCCTATTAAATGGGCTCATCTAATGAAACTGAGATTCACGCCAAGACCCATCATTTTCTTTTGCTTTTTCTTTACTAAATGAGGTTCTTTTCTAGGCGTTACATTACAGGAATATTAATACCGAGCTTTTCTCTCTATGCTCATCTCATCTACTTCTCTTGTCTTTTTCTATATCTCTTGATTTGTCTTTTTCCAGGTACCATTCTGTTGAGCCTGGTATCTTAAAACCTGTGACATCTTTGGAGGTATTTAAGGTGAGGAGGAGAGTAGGGAAAGATTCACAAAGCTTCCTGATCCTCCTTTGTGGTGGTTGGCTGGCGTTTTTTGGAGGTTTATTCAGAGTTCCAATTTCAGAAATTTTTATTTTGAAAAGTCCTAGTTCCTTCGGAGGGTTTTGAAAACAAAAGCAAGGTAGATTCCTGATGTTATTCTCTTACACACCTTTCTGCTTTTTGATTCCCAATAAGAGAAACTCGATTATAAAAAATAATAATTAAAAAAGCCTATTTTATGCTATTAGCATAGTATCCTCATTCATCAGGGGAAATTTTCTGTTTGTCATCTTTCTCTATATATACTGAAACAACAAACTCTGTCATCCATCATCCCTCAAACCTCCTTTTCTCTGTTTTATCATAAGGACCCATCTGACTTTTCAGGGTTTTTACAGCCAAAAAAATGGCAGCTTGGGATGGCGTTCTGAGTAAAACACGCTTAGGCGATGAAGAGTTCGATGAAGAAGATGTGTGGGGACTGGCGGACGAGAGAGATGACTCAAGCCCCAAAGTGATGAAGATGCTGGCTTCTAAGGATTCCTCTGGTTCTTCCTCTGCATGGCTCTCACCTGCTGCTCCAAGAAAGATTCCGAGGACAAACTCACAAACCAGCCATAAATTTGAAGCTCTTCAAGGTTCTTCAGCTCCTCTGAACATTCCTGACTGGTCAAAAATTTATCAGAAAAATATCAAGAGAGGGACCAAGGTTGATGCTGGTCAAGAACATGACCACGATAATGGTGATGAGGAGGAGGAAGATGGAGATGAAGATCGCATTATTCCTCCCCATGAATGGCTCGCTAGAAAGCTTGCAAGGAACCAGATTTCCTCTTTCTCTGTGTGTGAAGGGGTTGGGAGGACGCTCAAGGGGAGAGATCTTAGCAAAGTAAGAAATGCTATTTTGTCCAAGACTGGTTTCATAGAGTAGTATTAGCAGCTATTAGATCCTTCTTTGCCATCATTGTTATGCTTCGATCATATCACCATCAGCTTCTTTCTTATTTTTGTTTTTGCCAAATCTCAACTACCAGCCTCTACAATCCTAACCTTCTGGTCATCATCGTTGTTCGATTTTGATGCCATGCAATCTTTTTGTGTTGATTATTATCACAAGTATACAGAGTGGGAGATGATGAATGATGATGTGCTGATGCTACTGCTGGGAAAAAATTGAGTCGCACCATGAAGTCAGAGCTGCCTTTTCTGTTCCTGTTCCTGTTTTTTTTTTGTCACTTTCATATTTTCTGGGAGAGTGGAAGAATGGGAAAATATCGAGTGGTTCAGTATCAGTCTGAAGTTTTGAATGTTTTCCTAGAAAAAAAAATTGTAGTATATGCTTAGATTTGGAAGGGAATGCTGACCCATTCTTCAAGAGGAAGAGTTAATTTTTAATTATTAGCCTTCAAGTCTTCCTCTTTATGCCTCTCTGGTTTGGTTGGCTCTAACCTTCTCTAACTGTCAGTTATCAATTGTTAAACGTTCCCTTCATTTATTTGGTTTTTTGGTTTTTTGGTTTTGGGGTTAACGATTAACAAGGCTGTTTTTTTTTTCCCTCTTGCATGTCCTTATCAGTAAATATTTAAAGGGGCATGGACTGTTTACTGCGGAGCAACCATGACATCACTAGGAAAAAAAAATAATTTAATATGAAAGTTTGATATATATCTATTTTGAAATAGATATGTGCTGGTTTTGCATCTGAAGGTTTTGAATGAGTCAATGGCTTTGGGCTGTACGCGGGTTTGATTTCATATGAAATTTCACGAGGGTGATGCAAAACCTCAAGTTTTTGAAATGGATCTTATGGAGATTCTTAATTGTCACTAGGATGACGGGGCCACCACCAGAGAGAGATGAAAATGGAGGTTACATAAAAGTGCAGAATCTTGCTGCGATCTGCAGCATGAGGGAAAAAAATGAGGATTGTAATTATAAGATGAGGCTTTTAGTGGAGAATATTTGATCCTTTTGAATACATAGACACACATACACAAAAGTAATGGTCCTTGCAATGTATTTGCCTTTGGCCGACACAAATCTCACAATGATAGCATCGAGAGGCATTTGAGAGGTTCAGAAAATTCAGGGTTCTCCATTGCCTTTTCTTCCATTGGGGTGGTGGGACCATCATATATGGCCTTTTTGGCTCACACACAAACTTGGTATCATGTTCATGTGCATGCCGAGGAAATCTTTTGTTGGGATCCTCGTTTCTGGAGTTTCTCAACTTAATGAGATTGGGCCGGGTTTAGGGATGGGACAATAGTTTAATTTTTAAAATAAATAGAAAAAAAAGGAGCAAAAACTGAGAAATTCAGGGAAATTCTTAGATGAAAAAAAAAAAATCAGACATTAAACGTAAAAGCTTTTATCAACTCCGTTACATGGGACGCGATTGAGCCGACTCGATGTGCCAGACCTTTAGGGAGGTGTGAGGGATGGGGTCAAGGCTGTCCTACTTGAAAGTGGGCGAGACTATAATGTAGTTTCATATCCCATCCAGTCCTAGAGATCGTATTGTCTCGTTTGATAATGAGATGGAATCGGAAAATCCCATTAAAGATGAAGAGATAACTAATCAATTAGTCTTTATTGTTATAATAGGAAAGATTTTAATTAAGGATTATGGATGAGATTTAATTATTAGTGAATTTTAAAAAATTTTAAATTAAAGTTTAAATAATTTTAATAGTGACATGATTAAATCATTATTTATTTGTTATATCGAATTGTTACTTGTTAATTTTTTTCATTTTATTTATTAATTTATTAATATAAGTTGTAAATTACATTCATTTATTGGAGGAGTAATAATATCAGATCAAACATTAATTAAATTATTGTATAATTTACGATCGATGTTAGTAAATTAATAAAAAAATTAGTAATTTAACAATTGATATATTAATAAAAAAGCTAAAAATTTAATAATTGATATTGTTGTTTGTAATTGAATAATTGATGTTAAGTATAATTATTAACATGTAAATTCATATAATTTACAATTCATATTAATAAATTAATAAGTGAAGTAAGAAAATTAATAAATAATAATTTTTTATAATAAGTAAAAGGTAGTTTGATTTTTTTATTGTTAAAATTATTTTCACTTTAATTCTCTTAAACTGAATCAAAGTTTTAATTTTTTTAAGACTCATTATCATGATTTTTAATTAAAATTCTCTCATGATAATATTCACATCTTTAAACTTGTAATTTTTTATCACACTTTTTCCCAGTAAAAATTATTTTTCTTTAAAGTATTATTTTTCAACAATCTACTCAAGAGAATTCTTGTACACCGAACATAAAATATATTTTGTAAACTCAAAAATTAATATATTACTTTAAAGTATAAGTTAAAATACACTTAATAGAAAACCAATAACAAACATGAATCCTAGAGAGGGAGCAATAAAAATGCAATAATCACAGTAAACAACAAAAAATTAAATTCTATACAATATTTATTAAATTACGTAACCCCTTTGAGAAGAAAATTTAATAAATTAGAAGAAATAAAATATTAATTATCTTAATTTCAAAATATTTGGTGTTTGGTAATTATTTTACATTAGATGTACTAACATATATGCGCGAAACAGGGGTAATTTAAATTTAACGGGAAACTTCGTACGGGAAGCTGGACATATTTATGCCAAAGAAGTCTTGTATTGCAGCTATTTTAAGTGATGCTGTTTTACAACATATGTTTGAATGATAAACAAGCATTTAGCAAGTAACAACCATGTTAATTTTATGTTTGGCCATGCCACTTGCTAAAGAACTTATCTGGAGGACAATGAAAAAAATGAGATGATTTCTTCACCATCAGGATTCTCATATTAACAAAGAAATTTGATTCGATTTTATGAGTTATTAGTTAAATCTTTATTAATTAAATTAATTTTTATTGATTTTTTAACCTATACTAGTCTTTGTTGAGTGATATTCCGCGTGAATTAAGCCCATTTTAAAGTGAACTAACTCTTTGAAAATATTTTCTGTGAAACGAGAATTACGTTAGTCGGTTGATTTTGCAGAAACTGATGCGCAGTTCGAGGATCGAAAGGATAAAAGCGGGGGAAAGGGAGAACAATGATATAACTTGAGCCCCTTCATGCTTTTGATTCAACAAATACCAAAGGTCGCTTGTCTAGCTTTTTCACTGTTAGCCAAGCACGACCAATTTCCAATTCCACCTTCTTCAAGCTTTATATTTTATATATAATATATAATAAAACGCTTCAATTTGGGTGAGCCTGACCCTAAACCAAACCATTTCACATGAAAAGACCTGTGTGGGATCCATATGAACTGGATTCAATTCGAGCCATCCAAATACAATTTACTCCCTAGCATAACATTGATAAATGATAATTATTTAAGCACCAACCGACACTTATCATGCTAGTTATAAGCAAAATCACTCTCAACTAACAGTAACCTTGTTAGGATCATTCTTAATGTTATTTTGTTTTTGGACATTAAATTTAAATGGCAATATTTGAACTTCACTAGCTGAGCCGACAATAGATGGAGGCTTGGTTAATGATATTAAGCTCAACAAACCATGAAGTAGTTTTAACAGATTTTAATGAGGAAACATAACGGGAGAGATGAAAAATAAAAAACAGAACAAGAGCCGAAAAAATGTGATCGACTTGGACTCTTCAATAACTGTTACCGTTATTTGTAATAAATATTTCCTCCACATTTCCTTTACGGTGAAGAGCGGTTTGATTAAAGGACGGTTCCGTAATATTGGACTATTAAGAGGTTAGTACCTAGTCGTAGTGGGTCATAAGTGTTTTTGGGATTTCATCTCTTGCTCGAAGCAGAGAGGGATTGTGTCCAAGGTAAAAAGAGCTGTAAAGTTGACTCCTTTTATATCCTTTACCTCCTTCTGCTTGTCTTATTGTGCCTTCTCTGAGTTAATTGTTTCTTTTAATTTCTGGGTTTCACAGTGAGGTAAACGAGGACGAAGAGGAGGAAAAATGTCCGTGAAGAGCAGGGGAGGAATTGTTGAAATGAGCATGAGAAATGTCATACCTAGGAGATGGGCTCTTTTTCTTTGTATCGGAAGCTTCTGTGCCGGAATGTTCTTCACTAATTGGTACTTGTCACTTCTGGGTTTCTATATTTGAGCTTCAAGTTTCGATAAATAGTTGTATTATGATTATGTTGCATCTTTAAATACTGCAACTTGGGTGTTGAAGAAAGTGCCAGCAATTCGGTGGATTCTCATGAGAATAAGGGAGATTGTGCTGATTCAACTTGATGCCTGGCTTTATGTTTTAGAGAATTCGCTGACTGATGTGGTCTAGACAAGTTAGCCCTGTAAAGTTATTTTGCCTCTAAATGTGGAAAATGCTGTTGTTTTTAATCGAATCGTCATGAATTATTGCTTGCGCACAACACTTCAGTCGTGCCCTTTGCAGTCATTGAATCAGGGATACTGAGCTGTAGATTAATTTCACTAGGGTCCTTTGCACTTTTCATGCTTGTCTACTACTGTACTGTTTATTATCGTTTATCTGTAATGCATTATATGATTTTTCCATGGGTTTCATATGTCTAAAGGTGGTGTATTGGCTGTTATTTTTCGTCAACAGGTTGTATATATTGACCAAAGACAGCCCAATTTCTGGGCTAATAGTATTATTCTTCTGTCATCCACTTTATAATACTTTTGGAGTGTCTATATTGTTCTCCTGTCATGATGTAGCTGAAAATCGTGAAGGTTTTTATAAGCAGCTAAAATAATTCAGTTGAGTAAATTCAAGGGAGTTGCTTCTCATGTGGCTGGCATGACCCTTGATACTCAAAATTTCTAGGGTTTTGTTTGTTGCCCTTGGTTCTGGTTCTGCAAAAATTTGTGATTAAGTGTTCAGTTAGGAACTATGTTTCTAAACCAATTGGTCAAAATCTTCTTTTATTATCAGAAACCAAACATGAATGAATTAGACAAACTCTAATTTCTTCTCTATGGCTAAGTTAGATGCTAAGGCAAGCTATTAAGTAGCATATATATGTGTGTGTGTGATGCTGAGTGCTTACTACAAATTTTGCACCAGGATGTGGTCAATGCCTGAATATCAAGAAATTGCAAGGACATCTGATGAGGTTGAACAAATGAGATTAAGCTCTGAGGGTTGTGATATGAATCTTGTAAGTGTAGTAGTCACGCTTATACACTAATCATGTTTCTACCATGTTACTTTTGCACACTCTTGTCCCAACCCCAGTACACAGATTCTCAGTAAAATCCTTCTGGAAATTTTAAGAACCTCACAGTTCCCTTCTCAAGAGATTATTGTGAAGGAAATGAAAACAGAAGGTAAAATCACTTATGGCATGTGGTAAATGCCTCTGAAAAAGGAAATAAAAGTGTTTCTATTATGTTTGTTTTGAAGTCAGTAGGTGACATTTTGTTTCTCTTCTCTATTTTTGGGAGCGATTGAGAAGTGAGATGTCTCTGCTTAAAGTATTATATGTTTTCAACAATGACTCCTCATAATGTTGCAATTTCCTCTCTTGTGACTTCTGGAACTGAATACATTTTTCCAACCAAGGGTTTTTCTTTTTATTTGCATCTTCTGCTTCTGAGAAAGATGTAATTTGACTGATTATTAATATTTTCGCTGTTGTCTATAGGTTGTAAAGCCTCACTCCAATTACAGTCAAGTTTATGCTTCAAACACAGAACGTCTTATCAAGTAAGCTAGGCTGATGCTTGTTTGTATTGGGTTTTACTTAAGCTTCTCAAACAACTTTTATGCTGAACTATTGATATACATGGAATGCAGGAACCTGGGTAAGACAATATCTACTTTGGAGCTGAAACTGAAACTGCTAGGATAGCTCCTAAACTTATGTTGAATGATTCTCCTGCAACAGGAAACTCAAACACTATCGGTTCATCTCCAAGAAAAAGATATTTGATGGTTATAGGGATCAATACAGCTTTTAGTAGCAGGAAGCGGAGAGATTCTGTTCGTGAAACGTGGATGCCGCAAGGTGATTGAATAATTTTGAGCTTTTATGTTTTTCCCTTTTAAAATTACTTTTATAATTATTCTGTGCTTCTTCCTTATGTTACATCTATCTGGTCTGGGCTTCTAATGGAATTTCCCCAGCTGATAGAAGAAAGAAGATGGAGGAAGAGAAGGGCATAATCATACGCTTTGTCATAGGTCACAGGTCAGATTCAATAGTCTCTTGATACCCGTTGTAATTTTGTGGCACGCTTACCTTCTTTCTGCTAGGTTCAAATATTATTGGTACATTAGAACTTTTTTTTTAAAACCATCCATGTCTGTTATTTTTGTCGTCTGACGTAAGTGGCATTTCTTTTCTTTTCTTTTTCTTTTTTGGCCAAAGTGGAGTTTCTTTCAAATGCAACACAATTAGTTCTTATTATGGAGATCACTGGGATACACTCAGTATTTCTTATTGGTTGGTTTGTTTTGTACTTACTTGGGGTGTGCTTCCGTTGTCAAATTCATGAATTAAATTTAGCTGTTAACCTTTCTGTCACTAGTTCCACATCTGGTGGCATTCTCGATAGAGCTATCGAAGCTGAGGAGAAGCTCCATGGCGACTTCTTGAGACTGGTAATCTATCTTTTCGGTCCCATAAGTTAATCTATAGTCCCATATTATGCTGAGATTTTTGTTGATGAAACAATATACGTCCATGTTTTATCAGGACCATGTGGAGGGCTATCTGGAATTGTCAGGAAAGACAAAGACTTACTTTTCAACTGCTGTTGCCTTATGGGATGCAGAGTTTTATGTCAAAGTTGATGATGATGTCCACGTGAACTTAGGTAAATAGTTGACTTATGTAAAGTTAATAGTTGATAATAATGAGTTTCGAGTTGTAGGAGAACTGCTACAGCTTGAAGTGACAGTTTTTACTTTTATTGCTTGCACGTGCATGGAGAAAACTTTATCTATCTTTTAAAAAAAACGAAATTACTTAATTACTTAAATGTATAAAAATGATTAATCAAATAGTGAAATAATATTTCACTGTTCGAAAAATTTTTCATGACAAGTTGATTTTATAAAATTTAAGTTGTGGATGGGAATTCCTTTTCTTTACTTAGTTTTGTAAGAAAAAAAATACCAGAAGTTATAGTTCTTTGTTTTTATTTTTTAAAAAAAGGTAAAAAAATTAACAAGGGATACTGGTTATGCAGAAACTACAATCCCATCTGCATTTTAAAAGGTTTGGACATAGCCGTTGGCTCATTTCTTGAGCAAATAAAACTCTAGAGGCTCTATTCAAATCAAGAGCTTATCCATTTTAAAGCTCTATATGGCTGCAGTTTGATGATAGGTTTCACAAGCTCTCCAGTGTTAGCTTGTGTAGAATCTGTCAAATGGCTATGTCATACTCGTGGAAAATTTAGACAAAGAAACCATCATTAATGGTCAATATTATCTTTATCCCTTTCCTCATTGTGTTAATTGGCTATTTGTCATCACAGCAACACTTGGATTGACTCTGGCTAGGCATCGCATGAAACCTCGGGTGTATATTGGGTGTATGAAGTCTGGCCCTGTTCTTGCTCAGAAGTAAGAAAAGAGGTATTCTATATTTTGTTGTTTAAAAATCACTTCTTAGTTCTTAGGGTAACTCTTTTGTGGAACAGGGGAGTGAAATACTATGAACCAGAATACTGGAAGTTTGGTGAGGTGGGAAACAAGTACTTTCGTCATGCTACGGGACAGTTATATGCCATTTCGAATGATTTGGCCTCTTATATATCAAAAAATCAGTAAGCATTTCAGATATGCTAATTTATGAGTACCAAATAGCATTTTGATATTTGACTCCCCAATGCAGAATTTGTTAGTGAAATCAAGATTTTCATTATATAAATAGTGGAAACGAGGACAGGCTCACAATTTTGAGGATATTTTGTTTCCCTATTGACGTGTATATAATTGAGTGGTTAGACTAAGTTAGCTTTTCACACCTCTTTGACAATTTGAATTTTTTTAATATCAGAGATGTGCTGCATAAATTTGCTAATGAAGACGTTTCATTGGGATCTTGGTTTATCGGTTTAGACGTGGATCATATTGATGATAGGAGACTGTGCTGTGGCACACCCCCTGGTACGTTGTTGTCAGTTCTATTATGGCCTTTTCTTTTTCTATTTTCTGATGCTATTTTTGTCGATCCAATGCTGATACAGAAGCAGTGTGTCTCAAACAACCGATGAACAAACTTTTGCTTCTGAACTTTCTTTTGTTGTTTGTGAAGTCATGGTAGGACTCTCTGGAATGAAGTTATTATTGATGGATTGATAATCTAACTAGTTCGAAAATAAAACTTAGGTCGGTGGAATTCATGATTGCTGTTATGGAATGATGAATTCATATTTTGCTAGGAATTCGATGAAGTAACTAGTCAAAACCAGTGTCCTTCGTTGACTTAAGTAAGCATGTTAGGTATCTTGAACAAGTTAGCCAGAATATTCAGCAGAAAATAATACCTGCAATCACCATCTCTCTTCCTCAGAAGAATTATATGCAGACCTTTATGAATAAAAAAACTGATGATGTTGTTGGATGCCTTAAAAGAGTTGGATGGGTGATTCGTTGCTGCAGATTGCGAGTGGAAGGCTCAGGCAGGAAACATATGTGTTGCTTCATTTGATTGGAGATGCAGCGGAATCTGCAGGTCTGTTGAGAGGATAGTGGAAGTTCACCGGCGTTGCGGGGAAGACGAAAATGCTCTATGGAGTGCAACCTTTTGACAGGAAAATCGGAAAAACCCCGACTCGTCTTCTAAACTCGAGAAGAAGTGTTGTCAAAAACATGAAAGAAAGCATAGCATGAGTCTTTTTAGCAGTTACTACAGACAGAGATTCAAATAGGCCTTGCCGCTTGGGGTCTGATCTACATTTTGAAAAAGAAGAAAACCCTTTTGAATGATGCAGCCAAAGAGAAAGAAGAAGGAGTTTCGTCGCAACCACATTCTTTTGTAGAGGCTGGAGAGGGCCTTATATTCTGTAGTTCTCTCTGCCATAGCTAAAGTGCTTCCTAATAATTAGTTTTGATGATTATGTTCATTGTCTTTCTCTTCCCTTTGCTTCAAACTTTAATATAACTTGAATTTGTCTCATGCTGTCTCTTTGTTCACCCATAATCACCATTTCTTTGTTCACTTTGTGCAATGGAGAGAGTCTCTGCAAAAAAGAAAGAAAAGTTAACTTTGGGGAGAAATTGATGGCATGGATTTGTGATGATTGCGATACAGTGGTTGGAGTGGGGGATGATATGAAGCAAATCCTAGGTGGTTCCATGATTGAACAGCAGATCCACTACCAAATTACGCGTGTACCCCACAACTCTCTAGGTTTCAAGCATGAAGCAGAAAATCAGGCATCCAATTTCTGGGGACGCTGATGTCCACATTTGATATTTAGTCTACCTTTTAGTCTTAACCCTTTTTTCTTTTTTCTTTTTTTTTTTCGGTTGCACATTTTAGTGGTAATTTCTTTTCCGGCAATCTAACCTTTTTGAAGTTCTGCATAAAGTGTGATGTAATCTCAGATTTAATAGCCATTACATGTTTGAATTAAGGGAAGATATTATTTTTGATTCTTACATTTTGTCCAGTTTTGTTATGAGTCATTGTACTTTATTTTTAATATTCTAGGTTTCTATATTTTTTTTCATTTACAACATTAATCTTTACAATTTTAGAAGAATGTTGATGTGGTATAACGGTGTTAAAATTGCTGACATAGCCACTAATACCTTTAAGTTTATGTTGAAGTGTTAAATAAGTGTTGTTAGACTTTTTAATAAGCAAAATAAATTCAAAAAAGCTACATTAGATAAAAAAGGGTGACATTGAGTTATAAAAAAAAAACTCAGCTTAAAATATTTGTAAATATTTCAAAAAATATTTAAATTTATTTAAATTTTTAAACTTTTAAGACCTGCAATTTTTTTTAAAAAATTGAGTCTTCTACATTTTCAATTTTTAAGTATCCCAAAATCATATTTTACATTTTTTATATAAAAATAATTAATTTTATAATAAAAAATGTTTTTTTATAACTTTAGGTTTTTTTAAAAGTTTAGGCTTATTCGACCCGCCCAAGCTCGAATTATTAGTTTTTGTTGGAAAGAAATCAAGTTAAAAGCTTTAGTTTTCTCGTTCCTTTTTTTCTTTTAAGTTTTAACCTTTCAAGTTTTAACTTTTGGCCCTTAATTTATAAAAAAATTCGAATAACCAAGCACAGAACTAACTTTTTAAGTTGGTTCGAATATTTGAATTGCTAATTTTTTATTTTTTTAAAAATTTAATTTTTACTTTAAAATTAATTATTTTTATATTTTAAAATAAAATATATTTTTGGGATATTTAAAAAAAGTAAAAGACTTAATTTTCTTTTAAAAAAATTTGCAAGTTTTAAAGTTTAAAAACCAAGATTAAAGTACATTTCAAACACTTTTTTTTTTTGAGATATTTTGAATTGATAGTTTTTTTTTCAATTTCATGTCAACATTTTTTTTATCTAATGTACCTTTTTTTTAAAATTTAGTTTTCTTATTAAAAAGTCCAACTCAATAAACATTTTACATACCAACACAAATTTAGCGGTGTTAGTGATGTCTACAATATTAATACTATTTGTACAACATCAATGCCTTTTTGAAAATATAAAAACCAACATTGTAGATGGAAAAAAGGTATAGGAACTTGGAATACCTAAAAAAAATATAAGGATTTATAATAAATTTTGAGCAAAGTATAAGGATTAAAAGTAGTGTTTTACCTTGAATTAATGATTTGATATTCTTAACTTGGGGCAATTTTTTTTATATAAAGTCAAAATTTAATATAAATATAATGCACAAGAAAAAGTCATAAAACTAAAGTATTACAAAATAACCAAGGAGAAAAGCTAAACACAGAATAAAATAAAACTTCTTGGATGACTTGGAAATGATGTCGCCACAGTTTATGAAGCAAATGATTAATGTTCAAGATTATGGTGTTGAAATTTGCTACCAGAGAATGCTATTGGAGAAAAATGTGGTTTATGAATGTTGTTAATTTAAACTACAATATTAGATAGATCATGATGAGCACAAAAAGAGTTTATCCACTAAAGAGAAACTCTCAAGCAAAGAAAAGGAAACATATGCATCTTGAATCCATTTCATTATCAAATTTCCATTAATGAATTGAGAATTTAGGTAGATTGCAATAAAGTAGCAAAGCTTTCTATCCTTTTTAAATTTCTTGAGCCAAATTGTCTATAAATCAAAGTTGGGAACAAAAATAGGATGAGTTGCAACCAATTGTGAACTTGATGAAGAGGACCTTGATGGCAAAGAAGGCCAACAGCATACATGGTTGAAAGCAACATTGACTCTTGAAATTTCTTAATAGAAGAGTTGAGCTAGGAGCGAAACCTTGATGGATGATATAATTTCTCAACATCCATAATTGATTGATTAAAATAGTGACATGCTAAATCAAATCAAAATGAAAATCCTTGAAAGGTTGCTTGAAATTGAACATTAACCAAGAGATCAAACTACCATATTAAAATGTTGAAGTCTGGATGTTCAAACCACCAAACCAAAAAGATCGAGCAAGTGCACAATGAGTAAAGACATGATCAATAATTTCCTCACATTCACAAACAAGAGGACACAAATTGTGTTAGTAAGGTGATGCTCTCTAAGAATTTCACCAATTGGGAGAGCTTTATGAACTAATTTCCACACAAATAGAATGTGTTTTAAAGAGAACTGTGATTGCTAAAGAGATTTCTAGCAAGAAAAATTCATTAGTGGAGTTGTATTTCTATGTTGGGAAGTGAGCAGTTCAATACCTTTCTTAGAAAGATATTATCCTATCTTAGAACTAGTCCAATAGAATTGATCCTCTTGTTGAGAGAAAGAAAGAGGAGTGTTAAGAATTAAATCTGACACCTTATGATCATAAAGATATCGAGTAAATTGTGAATTTCTCTCTTTAGCAGACTGGTCACTAGAATGGTGAAGAATGAGATCTTGGACATGAAGTGATGTAGGATCAGAGGTAAAAGAAGAGGAAAGAGTAGATATAGAATTTGGTTTAAACTAGAAGGGATCATTTAGAGAGATGTTTGAGCCAACATCCACTTTCCATTGTAAGTTTGATGTAATCAAGTCAGTAGAAGAGCATATTCCTTTCCACAATCAAGAAGAATTGTGAGGTTTTTTTAATGATGGTTGTGGAATTTAAATGTATATATTTGATCTTTAGAGTAGTAGACGGCAAAGAATTAGCATCGTCATTCATAACTCTCCAAACCCATTTGGCTAACAAGGATTTATTCACTAGAGCTGAGCTTGAAGACTCAGGCTATCTTGACTGAGAGGCCAAAATATAATATTGTTTTTAGGTGTAAATGCCTGGAGTTCTCATTATAGCCTTAGAAAAAATCAATACAAGCAACATTTATAGCCTGACAATTAGATTTTAGGAGCTTGACACATCACATGAGATAAATATTAGAGGCTAAAAGAACATATTTGATTAAAGTCAACATTGAAGCCTGTAAAAGCATTTTTTCCTCTCAAAATTGATTCTACTTTTAATAGACTTCAAAACTTGAGAATAAATAATTGACTTAATTCGCTTAACATCTATCCCAGTTCCAAGATATTTTCCCAATTCATCTGAAAGATTAACTCCCAAATAAACCACCATCTCATATTTAAATTCAGGGGAAACATTTGGGCTACAAATAAGAGAAGATTTGATATGATTGATAGCATGGCTTGACCATTGGCAATAAGCGTCTAACATATCCTTAACCCCCAAAAAAGTGTTGAGCTCAAAAAAGAATACCGAATCATTAGCATATAGTAAATGAGAAATAAGGGAAGATTTAGCACAAATTTTGATGCCATTGATCATCCCAAAGGCCTTAGATTGGGCAGTGAGATAAGATAACACATTACTAGCCAAAATATATAAATAAGATAAAAGTGGATTTCCTTGTTTAAGACCCCTATAGGGAAAAATAGGAGCAGAAAGATTACCATTAAACCTCAACTGGTATTGGATTGTTGTAAGGCATTGCATAATGAGATTGATCCATTTCTTAGGTTTAATCATGATTGCTTCAATGAAATTCCAAGGCAATCGATCAAATGCTTTTGATAAATCAACTTTCAATGTAGCAAATGTTTTCCTACAAGTGACTAGAATTTTTTTCAATAATCAATTCAGTCTTTAAATTTTGATTTGAAATAATTCAATCCTTATAATTTATTGACTCGAAACAACTTAATTTTTATAGTTTTTTAGGTTAAGGGTCACTTTTTGCTCCTTAATTTTACCCGAAAGGTCACCAGGTATTCTAAACTCAACTATAGGTCAATCATGTTTCTCAATATTAAAGATTCCTTCCCTTGTCACCCAATCAGTAGTGGGTGTGTTTGGATTTTAATTGAAAAAAAAAAAATGATCATGAAAAAATTGATTATTAGAATGTGGTGATATTTGGATAAATTTTTAAAAATTAATTTTGATAAAATTAGGATGTTTGAATAATTTTATCAGAAGCAATTTTGAGTGGGTAATTTTATTGTTCAAAGTGATAAGTCAGTAGTGGTCAGAATTGATTTTTCAAATGAAATAAATTTCAGCTTGTCATAAATAGACTTTGAAAACCAAATGGGATTTAGAAAAATCAAGGTGCTTGGATAAAATTGTTTAAAACCTTAATTTTAAACTCAAAATTAATTTTAAAATGGTATCCAAATAGGCCCAAAAATGCCTAACATTTATTTATTATCAGAAGGTCCCACTATTTCTTAATATGTTTTTTTATTTTTTATTGAGTTAAAGGTTATTTTTATCCTTTAACTTTTACCTGAAAGATTAGTGGTTACCCCTAATTCAAATATTTTATAATAAAATATATTAAAAAAAATGTAATACGAAGGCCACTAACAATGAAGAGATGGTGAAAAAATAATAAGATGACGAGGAAGGAAATCTCTAATATTAAAAAATATAATTAATTTATTTTTAAGTTTAAGGTGTCCAATGATCATTCAACAAAAGTTAAAGAGCAAAAATGATACTTAATTATAATTTTTTTTACTAAACATAGCTCAATTATTATAATTTATTAACTCAATAAATAGCAAAGACTGAATTATATTGAGTTAAAATTTAAAAATTAAATTAATAATTGAGAGAAAATTCATGGATTATGTTATCCCTCTAGCTTATCATGTTATTACGAAAATTTCTTGTTTCTTATGATTATTTCCATGAAGCAAATTGTATTTACAAAAAAAAAAATAGCCTTTTTAATGTACTCATGTCAAATTCAAACTTTAACAAAGTTTCTTCTAATAAAAAATGTAATAAAATATATCGTAATGTGGATCCAAAACCCTGAATTTCAGGTTCGAATTGGAATTTGACTCGGTCACATATCTGTGAAATGCAGGCGGCAAGCACATTTAATATTAGTGGTCTTTGGTCAACTCGAAAAACAAGCAGAGTATGTTCTTTAACAGAGGAACAAGATCCTCCGAGAGTAGAGAACACGTTTTTAAAAGGGGAGAACAAGAACAGCTAGGAAATAAACATCTTTTTTTTTTTTCAAATTTAAGAATTACCTCAGGGAAGATATTTAATTTAAAAAATGAATAAAGATACACCCTTCCTTTATTATGGAAAAAATTATCACCAAAACAAACAACATAATTGCTTAGTGATAAGGGTGGAAGTTGGCCAGATAACATGTTAAGGATCTACAATTTGACTTACTTTAAGTGTAACTTAATTTAGTCAATAGATAAATTAAAGCAGGTTTTGACCTTTGATTTGATTAGACTTATTTAAATAAATAGGTTAGGTTTATTTTTAGAGGGCTTGGTATACCAACCTTTTATATATATATATATATATATATATAAAATATTACATATATGGTATGCAATTTATGTAACATATAATATATAGTATTAAATTTAGCAATTGGAAAGTAATTGACTGCACCTCATTTCTTCTCGTTTTTCATCCAAATCGAAACTAGAAAGCATTAGACATGGTCTTTTTTATTAGCTTTCGTACAATGAATTGATAATATACCAATTTCATCATTTAATTTTTAATGAATCTATCCCTCTTATTTCAATTTTTTTGTCATGTTTTCAATAAAATTAGACTTATATATTGATTTCAATATTATTATTGTATTGTATTATAATTAGTGAGTCCTTTTACTTATTATGTATTGTGATTGGCAAATCACATTGTGTACATGTAAGATTTAATAACCCTAAAGTTTATTTTAAAGCTTACTTTTCAGGCATAAGTTGTGAAAAAAACTTTATATAAATTTTAAATTAGGCTTAGGTCTTGGCATATAAACTCAAGCCTATTTATCTAAAGCTCAACCTGGTCTATTACATTTTTACCACCACTATTAAATATTGATGATTTGTTCAAATTAAGATATCCTGATTCATTTTTTAGTAAATAATGAAAAAAAAAAAGGTTTAAGCAGAGTCATCGCTGAAACCAATGCGTCAATAGGAAACATATTGTTTCTGTAGAAGATGCATTCATCATGAAAGCAAGATCAAGATCGGATCTGGTCACCTAGTCTGATATGATATATGTAATGCATTGTCAAAAAAGAGATGCGCCTTGGAGTAGAAGCAAACTCAATCCCAAAGAAACACATATCATCCCACTTCCACCTTCCCCTATTCCCTACCTTACTTTGGTTGGTACGAAACCTCTTTATCACCATCATTTTCTAGCTGTGTACTTTAACACAATAAACAAACAAGAGAGAGAGTAGCTTCTCATGTTCAATCTTAGTATTTTATTATGTCATTCTCTTGATCACGCCTCAAAGCTATTCTCACATAGACAGCTACGTACCTGCAATATCATTCCTTATCTTCACTGCTGCACTGCATTTTGTTGGAGCAAATATACCTTTTGATGTTTCATTGCTTCTGGACAAAGAGAATGAATAAGATCTTGATCAGAATTCTGCAGAAAAAGGAACCATTAAAGTGTTACCTTCTTGTTCACTCACTGTTTCCCACGGTGATTATATAATAACATGAATAATGTTTCTGTGTCACCCCTTCTTGAAGCTTCATATTGAGCTTAATTAAAGAGAAGGACTTTTGCGATCTCACAGAAATGGACTGCTTGTGATATTGGCACGGCTCAATCAAATAACAGAGCTTTAGAATCACAAAGCACTGCCTTCTGATTGAACCGTACCAATATCTCAGGCACATGTTCATGTAGATTCATCACGAGCTCATGCACTTCTGCAGGACCAACCGTATACGTTAAAAACAGGTCACAAACAAAAAGCTTCAACATAACATGCAATAAGAGAAGCTTACCCCGAGAACACAGAAAATAACTAAGAACCAGAGAGGAGTAAAAGCTTCACTGAGAACGCCAATAACAATGTCCGGTGTGATTCATGAGAATTAATGAAACAGAGAAAGAGAGGGAGGGAGGGAGAAGAGGAAGTGACAGAAAGAGGAAGGGCTTTAAATATGGTGGGCATTAAATTCGTCAGCGACCAAACAACAAACAGGAGGTGGGCACTTTAAATTTTGAGGATTGGGGGAAAGAAAATAGAAAAGCATGCATTTGAATATGTGAGAATTACAAGCAGAGAGAAGAAGAGAATGAGGGAAGCACATTTGAAATTCAAAAAAAGGAATTGAGTTAGTGCATTTAAGAAAGAGCTTGAGTTGAAGGAGGAGTGTGGTGAAAAAGCGTATAGGTGAGTGAGAGGAAGAAGCAGAGCACGGATTGAGCAGTAGTACCAATTACCAAACAGATCATAACTTTCTTCCTCATTCAAAGGCTGATATTTCTGTAAGTGGAGTTAGTTATATAAAAAATAGCATCTTTCGGCACGTATAGGTCCAGAAAAGGAACAGCCTAGGAAATTATGCATTTGATTTGGATCCTAGCCTACCAATTCCTGAGCCTGGAATCGCAAAAAAGGGTTTCTTCAAATTCTTAATTAACGCGGCTGGTTGGAGTTTGTTAGGGGGACACCAAGAAAAACAACTCTTTCGACTCACTGATCTATTTTTCGTGCATTGCACAGAGACAGACACCCCAAATCCAAGAATTTCCTCTGTTGAGTATTATAAAATTCAGGCTAAAGCGCATTTTTGAGTCAAGCTTATGTTTAAGCCAAAATAGTGTAAAAAAATAGCAAAATGGAAGTAGTCATTTTCTATATTATTTTAATCAGTCATTTAATGAGATTAGTTATTTATTATTCCAAAGCTTTCAATTTTTTTTTTTTAACGTATTCAGCACTTTTGAAATGAAATTAAGAAATCAAGTTGTCATTTTTTACGCTATTTTAATTCTTCTCTTAATGAAAGTAGTTACTTCTTTCAGTCTAAAATATAAACAATTTTTAAAAAAAATTGGCACACCATAAAATTTCATTCTCATGAAAAATATATATTGTTTTTCCTTTTTATATTTAGTCTTAATTATTAAGACACTTATGAAAAATGAAAGATAAATTTATATGAGAATTTATATTAATAAATATAAAGCATAATAAATACAAGGGGTGATTGCTAGTCAGGAATCATACCGGATCGAGAGTTTGGGGTATCTATTGTTAATTTGTTATCTCTCTTATTTCTTATTTTTCTCATGCAATTATTAACCCTTAATTTATTTGGAAATACTATCATTTTTTACCTAAGGTTTTAGAGAAAGAAAGACCTTAATATATTGAGAAGAAGAAGTTATTAATACTTTTATTTATAAATCACTTTTAACATATTTTACTGGAACAAAGAAAAACTTCAAATTTCATTAATTCTATCTTAAAATTTAATAAGTTTTCACTTCTATTTCTTAATAAAAACAAAAAGAATTATTTTTAGTAAACTTTTATTAGCATTTAATAAGGGCAGAAAGGTAAAGATAATTTTGTGAAAAAAAAGTAAAGATAAATATAAAAAATAATGAAGTATCCCATAAATAAAACTAAAATTAATCTTCTCTCTTAACCTTATAAATAAAACCTGTGGAATATAATGTAGTAGATATTAAAACCTTAATTTAAAAGTAGTTTAGAATATTTTTAATGATTTTTAAAAAATAAATAAAACAGTGGCTAATTTAGACTGTTTTTCATAAAGTCTATGATTCAATTAAATGAGTTTTACATTATGGATTGAAGAAAGTAGAGAGAAAAGCAAGAGGAATTAATTCTTGCATATTGAATTAGCTTCTGGGGAATTAAAACTGAAGCAAGGGAAGTACTTGGGTCAACACATATTAGCCAATTGTAGTTAAAATATGACTAACTAATTTAACCAACTTTATTTAGAAATATATCTAATTATAATTATAATTTTTCTATATAAAAAATAATTATAAACATATTATTTTCTTGAGAAGTTCAATTTATAAGTAATAGCCTAACAAGCACCCTATCTGTTTAAAAATACAAAGTATTTTTAATTGAATCTTACCTCTCAATAAAGTTATTACCTACTTTTCAACTAACTATATCTTTTCATATTTATCTCTATTAAACATCATACAATAAATATAAAGTTATTATCAATAGGAATACTTTTGATAAAAATGTAATGATTACATTTTGAAAGATTAAAAATGCCTTACATTTTTAAATATCTAATTCCTCAAAAAATATCTTACATTTTTAAGTAGAAGGAGTAACAAATAAGGGCTCCTTGAGCTCACAGAATAAAATGAAATAAAAAATTATATTATTTTAAATATGAAATGTTATATGTGTTTTTTTAGAAGAAAATAAAAAATAGTTGTTATAAAGTAATGATTACTCCTCTATTAAAAAAATATAAGGCACTTTAATTAAATTACACATTCTAATATATTAGTTAATTATTTTCAAACTAATACTATATTTTCATGCTTACCTTATTTTAAGAGTGTATCTTACTTAAAGGTGAAGTGTGGAGTGGTGCATTTATTAAGAATAGTTTTAGAAAAAAGAAAGGCTCGTTAATTACATGTTAAAAATTAAAAATTTCTTATATTACTTTTATCCCAATTCATGGGATACTTTCAAATAAAATCACATATAACAATAAGTATTATTAAATATACTTTACAACTTTATTTTTTAAAAATATAAATATAAAATTTTAAAAATGTCATTTATTTGATAGTCCTTTTATAGAAGAATATTAAAAAGAAAGAATATATGTGAGGGTAATATTAGAAAAGCATAATTAATGAATCTTATTTTTTTAAAGTATCTTATATTTTAGGATGTTAAATTTCTTAAAAAATGTTCTATAATTTGGGATGAAAGCATATTTTTTAACATCCAATATAAGAAAAAATTTCTTATATTTTTAAATGAAGGGAATATTTTCCCATATAATAATACATATTACATATCTTCATTTTGATTTTTATGCAATGAAAAATTATTGTTTTTCCTTAACGGCTACCAACTATAAAGCATTAGACTACAAAATATATTGAAGAAATATTTTCAAATAAACGTAAATTATTTTGAGGTGAAGAAATACTATGTGAAGCCAGAATTTAAACACGAAGATTTCTATAAAATATATATGGTACAAAATTTTATAATTTTGGGACCAAAATATATATATATATATATCTTAAACAACTCGCATACGTTACTAAGAAACAAAATTAAAAATCTGAACCGTGACCCTGTTAGTAAAGTCTTGATAGATGCTTATGATAGTGACTGAAAGAGTATTAATTATAGAGCAAGCAATATCAAATTTTAGGGGTAGTAAATGTGAGCACTTTTTCTTAATAAAGATTGGAACCTCAGTTTGTGATAGACTAGTACATTTTATTATACCCAGTTTCACTGATAATGCTGTATTCTTTTTAATTCATCTTCATAAAAAAATTGGCTCCCTTATGTTTAACATCTAGTTTCAATTGTTAATTATTAGAAATGTTATAGATAAAACAACGTACGTAATCCACAAAATATTTTATATTATGAAATATAGATTTTTTTTTTCAAATGATTTCTTATAAATTTAAAGGGAGGGAATAGTATTATAGAGCATGGAATCTTAAAAATTTTGTTATACACCTTCTTGTCTTAAATATAATGTCTTAACTAATTTGTAGAATAAAGAATAAGTAAACTAATTATTTCTAGTTAATGCGTAGAAAATTTTTGACACTTTTTTAAGAATAGCCTTGCCATTTAATGACTAAAATTTAATGCATGATAATAGAAATATCCTAATAGAGAGAGGTATTACAGGAAAGAAAAGTTTCATATGAGAGGCTAGAGGAAATGATACATTTATTTAGGACCAAGCCAAAACCTTTGCATAATTCATTAAATAAGTACTCCACTACTCCTTTTTATTTTTCTCATTTTTTTTGTGGGGAGCACTTATTTTAGTTTTATTTATAGAGTATCTCTATAATTTTTGTACATACCTTTATCTTCTATTAAATGCTGAAAATATTATTAAATGTTAAAATATTTTATTTTTGCAGTATATATATTTAATAAAAATAAAATTACAAAAATTTAAAGTTTTTTATTTTAATAAAATATATTAAAAATAATAACTTATAAATAGAACAATAGAGAATTGGTGAATTCATGGAATGATTGCCAAAAGATGCCATAACTGTAGATATAGCGATCCTGATGAGCAAATGGGCAATGACAATAAATAAAGGTAATAAATAGGCTAACAGCAACTGGTTGTTTTCTGTTCTGTCTTCATTAAATGACCACAGAAATTTTACTACTACTTTTTTCCTTTAACAGTTGAGATAGTCTTGTAATTAAAGGGAACCAAGGGCAAATAAATAGAGGGACAAGAAGTGCTGCCATTTTTACGATATAATATTGGTCCACAAGTACATCCTCTGTTTCTACATTTATATGTAATCAACTTTGGTCCACAATCACCACACACCCCCACATGTGACCATCCACATTTGTTTCAAGTTCCTCTTTAGTTTTCAAGATCACCCAGATTTTCCTGTCCCATCTTTTCTTTCACTTCTCACTCACATTAATTTGGTCAAGTCGTCCCCCATCCTTCCCTCCCAAAAAAACTCTCATACCATTATTTTTATTTGCAAAAATTAATCTTTCAATACATGTACATGGCTTGTCAAAAATTTGACATGAATCCTGAATTTTCAAATATTTTTCGTATGTTCCTTCTATAACTGACACTCTTGTGAGTGTTTTTTGTTTATAAGTCATCACTTCTTCCTATAATTTGCTTGCTATAGTGTCCATATCAGCAAGTGTGACGTGGCTAATAAATGCATATGTAGTGATTATTGGACATGACACATTACACAGCACCCCTAGAAGAGGACGCGATGTGTAATGTGTAAATAAAGTCTGATATTTTTACCCTGTTTTACGCCAGAAAACAAGCGCACTCTGCTTATTCGCTGTTCCCACATTCATGTGCAAATATCCGCAACAATGTTAATTATTACTGTATTCATTAACGGGCTGGTAAAATCCCAGTGCTTTAACCCTTTAGATGAATCCTCAGAAGAATCAGTTCCGGCATCATTAAAGTTCCCAACTTGGATCATTAATTCCAGTCCCAGATATCATGTGATCATCCTCAAGCTAAGAACATATATGATCATGAATCGGTTGACACAATGAACTTGACTGACATCTAAACTAACGGCGAATTGATTACTCATTACAGAGGAGAAGTGGTGTTCAATGGTGGTCGTACTTTTGCTAACAGAGTAACATGATAATGCACCTCTCCAGAATTGTAGAGTCTGCATGTGTGTTCCTTGGCAGCCATGAAGAGCCTTTTCTTCAAGCTCCTCCTCAGAACCACGTGCTGACGTGGAACTTGTTGAAGGGGATGCAGAGAAAGAGGGATTAATGATGTCGTGTTTGGGTCCCATGGTTTTGAGAGTGACAGAGACAGAGGAAGGTGGAGTGTGTGGGAAAAGGAAGCAACCTGGTGGATCAAATTATTTATTTACTTTTGCACTTGTCAGATTGGCCCATAACATATATTTTCCAATCGAACATAGGCTTTGTTCCTCACAACTGTGATTAGCTTTTGCCTTTTTGGTATAGTTTTTTTGTTAACGTTTTACTGTAGTCTCTAGAATTATAATCAACTTTGGTTAAGATTCTTAAAAATGACATGTTAATGATGTAATAATGATGTGTCGCTGACTGATAAAGCAATAATATTTGGAAATAATAAGAATTTTGAGCAAAATTGACTCCAATTATTGCAATTGATTCTTTAATAGGAAAGCTATAAGAACGTTGACCCAAATTCATTACGACTTCAGGAATTATAAACTTTGTTTTCCCCATGTATTTTGGTGTGAACAAGAAGTAATCTTCATCGCTTGTAGAGACTAATCTCACTTTAAATATTGAGAGCAAATGATAAAGGGCTTCTGACTAAATTTACACTCAATGAGCCATTTACTATGTGAGAGAGAGAAAATATGTTATGTGCGAATCAAGTAATTATAGTGTAATACTTCAAATTTGATATTCCAAAATTTTTCCAAACCATTTGATTATGTATCAAAAGAGTAATGCAAGAAAAAAAGTATTTTTCACTTTTATTTGATCTATAAACGGCCTATTATTTATCATTAAAAACTTTTTTGACTTTTCACATAAAAAATTATAGCAGTCTTTATATTGCGAAAAATTATAATAGAAAAATTTAAAAAAAATTGCTACATATACTTGTACAACATTTTAAAAATTCTCCTGATGTGGATTTTTTATTCACAAAATTTAAATTAAAAACTTCGTTTTATCCAGCTCCAATTATTGATGGTGAACTTATTTGTTCAATTGCGTGCAAGTGCAGTTTGATGTAAAATTTGGCTAGACGCATGTCCCTAACAAGTAGATGCAACATTTTTTTTTTGACCAAATAAAAAAAAGATGAAACATTTTTTGGGTGATAAAATAGATGCAAAACTTAATTTCTACTTCCAAGAAGAGAACATGAAAACCTTAACTCTTGTTCTCAAGCTGATTTCTTTCTGTTAGGTATATTATACATGTATTTTGAGACGAAAATTAAATTAAAGACTCAAACTAAAGAAACTTATATTTGGACAAAAACTAGCCGTGTTTTTTTTTTATTGATTGGAATCTAAAATTAAATATATTTTTATAATCTTTTATATTTCATATTAGTAATGAATAAACAAATAAGGCCCAACAAGAAGGGTGAATAACATGGAATGAACCAAATATGAAGCCCACTTATTTCTCATTGAACAGCTCCAAGTTAAAAAAAAAACCAAACAAACAGGAATCAAGGCCCAACTAGAGGGGCCAGATTTTGGCGTAAAAAGATAAAAGGTGAAACTTGTAAAGGTGAAAGGTAAAACTTGTTTGTGAAAGGGTGAAATACACATAACCCAAAATTGGAAGGGGTCCGGATCCGGATCCTCTTCTCCTTGTCCCATTTCTTTTTTTTCATCTCATCATCCTATATCTACCATTAAATAAGAAAATAAATGGTTTAAATTTAATTATTTTATAAAATATTATCATAATATCATATAAAAATAAATAAATAAATTTAAATGGTTAGAATTTGACCTGCACATTATCATAATATCATATAAAAATAAATAAATAAATTTAAATGGTTAGAATTTGACCTGCACAGTTCATACTTGTGTATTGTTATTAAAAAAATTTTATAAAGTAAAATTTCTTATTTAATTTATCGTAGCTACAAATTGGACATGTCAAATTTTAACTGTTAAAAATATTTATTTATTTTTTAATATGATAATTGTTTCATAAAACAATTAAATTTGAATCATTTATTCTTTATTTAGGGTGGAGATGAGATGAGGGGAATAAAATAAAAAAAAAAAAAGAAAGAAAGAGGGATGAGTAGAAGATGCTCATCCAGTTTGAAGAGCGCCATAATACCCGGTTCATTCCCCTCCGGATTTTTAAAACAACCGAAATAAGAAAGACAAAAATAAATAAATTAAAACACATCAGCCAATAGAATGATGACAATTCAGTATTATTGTTTCCTCTTCCTGTGCTGCATAAAAAACAGTAACTGAGAAGATTGGAATTTGCTCAAGATAAGATAAGATTTCCAACAATTTGGACAAGTCAATGCTGGATAATAGCCTGTTAGTTTAGAATTAAAGAAAAAAAAAAGTGATTTTAGTTTAAATGACAGAAGAAATTAAAGCTAATGGCGAGAATTTTGTTAGAATTTTTTATAAGCTACTCCAAATAATTTGTCAGTTTTTTTTTCCATATTTTTCATGCATTTTTTAACTCAACATATTTAAGAAAAAATTCCAATTACATGTTTTTTTTACAGATGGAATAGTTCTTATTGTGAAATAAGAGAAGAGATTAATTACAAACTTGAATTATAGAAAAAAAACCTTAGAATAAAACAGAATCTTTGCTTGCAAATTTGAAAGATTGCAATATTTTGAAAGTAAAATTGGAAGATCAGGTCACACTGCAAGTAAAAAAGTTTAAATATTTAAGGAGTTATCATTGAAAATGATAGAAAAATTGATGAAGATATTGCATATAAGATACAAGTTGAGTAATTAAAATAGAAAAAGGCTTAAAATAGTTATTTGGTGATTGAAAATCACGTAATAACTTTAAAAGAAAGTTTAATTCAAACTATTATAAGATCAAATATGTTGCATTGTAATGAATATTGAACTTTAAAATAAAGTTAGAGTAATTGAAATGAGAGTGTTGAGATTATGAGATAAATGTGTAGATGTATACAAAAAAATAAAATTCAAAATATGTATATAAGAAGAAAAGTGGGGTGTGATTTTTATTAAGAAAAAAATAAAAGAAAATTGTTTAAAATGATTTGACATATACAGATAAGATCATGAGAGGACAGTGGAGAAAGTGAAATAAATAACATTGAACATTGTAAAAAGGCATAGCAAAAAAAGAAAGAAGACACTATAAAAGTTATTAAATGAGACTTTTAATTAATAATAATCTTAAGAGTCTGGTTGATGATTAAATATCAAAGTACCGTATAATTAAATAACGAACCCTATTTAATTAAATAAGGTTTATTATTATTATTATTGTTATATTTCACGCGTTTAGTTTAAATCTTCCTAATAATACTCATATTTAAAATAACTTTCTGAAGTTTAACTTATTTGGGCGAGAATTGAACTTAAGTGTTTAATATATAGTGTGTCACAAAATTACGGTGAAAATAAATAAAAAACATAAAATAATATAAAACTTGTTTCAGGGAAAGAAAAAAGAAAAAGGGAGGAGAGGGCAAAAGAACTTTGAGTCCAACTATCAGGCCACGCCGGCGAAGTTTTGTTTTCTTGCGAAAGAGGGAACCCAAATCCTTCAGAAAAGTATAAAATTATATTAACAGTTTCCGTGTTCCCTTGAAACTCCCAACAAAAACCCCTCTTATAATCTAATCCTCCCTCACCACTTCCCATATACTCTTCAAAGTTCTCTATCTGATCCACTGTTTCACGATCTATTCTTCTATTTTCTCTCTGGTTTTTAGCTATTTCATTCTTTCGTGTCCAGTATGTTTATTGTTTCTGAAGCTTTCACGCCATGTTCTCGGCTCTGTTTCTTCTTCTTCTTCTTCTTTGTCGGCCTTTATCGGTTTGATTTTTTGAGTTTTGTGGGGTTAATGATGTACCGTCATGTTTGGACTTTGCAGGGATCTATCGCTGTGCGAATTTCATCATGGCGAAAAGCTCCTTCAAGCTTGATCATCCATTGGGTGAGTGCTGATCTTGCTCTTTTTTTAATTTGGGTTTGCGGGACTTTAAAGCTTTCATGTTGATCCTGCATATTTTTCTTTTCTTTTCTCGAAAAGACTTCAACTGATTGAAATTATTGGAACCAATCCATCGTAATTTCAAATTGTAATTAGAGAAGTAATTTGGGCTTAAATAATGCCAGAGTCTTTAGAAAAAGAGGATATACTTTTAAGGTTGAACTTACCTGGTTGTGATTTCAATTATGTTAATTTCTCTGAGTCCCATGATCCCATCAATGCCTTTTATTTTGGGGATGAATATCAGGCAACAGGCAGTCAGTATCAGGTTTATTGGAGCTATTTCTGTGAAGACTTTGGATCCAGGCTTTAAGGCCATATGTTTTGTTGCAATATTTTAACTTTTAAATTCCTTTTGTTTCGAGTATCAATGAATTAAATTTTTTGGTCTCTTTCCTTTCAGAAAGAAGGCAGGCTGAAGCTTCTCGCATCAGAGAGAAGTATCCTGATAGAATACCTGTAAGATTATAGTCAGTATATATTGTGTGCTCATTTGTTTTTTCTTGAGGCGCATTTGTTTGATGGGAATGCCGTACAGGTGATTGTGGAGAAAGCTGAAAGAAGTGACATTCCAGACATGATAAAAAGAAGTAAGAGATTGTGTTGCTTATACCATTCCGCTTCCCTAATTAGATTTTACACGTGAGACTAGTGCTTTACTTTCTTGGGACTACATTATTTTGCTTGAATTTTTTTGTTTCTTTCCTTGGAAATTTGGGTGCTTCTATTTTATTGTTTTATTGCCGTGAATGTGAAAATATTTGGAAGGTGCTACATCATTCAAGAGAGCATCACGTGGCACTGATGATCTCATAGGAATATAGGGTGTTGTTACTGACTGATGCTGCTGCTTGTGATAATGTATGGTGATGATGGACTCTGATTTTGTTCTAGTTCTGCGTTGGTAGTGATAAGTTTAGCATTAGTTTGAGATTCATGAGCAGGTTGATATTATGGTGCTTGATGTCTGCGGCTAAAGTTGGACTGTCCTCAAGTCAGATCCACACCAGATGCTAACATAAGTGGAATGTTTTCTGCTTGTATGACTGAACTACTTGCTCTTTTCATTCAAATTTGTATGTTAACCTAACATAAAGTAAAGGTTTGGAATCAATGCAAAATCAGATTTCTGGTGTTTTGCTCTCTAAAGAGTGCAGTTGCATGCTGATGAGTTATGGCTATTCTAATTTTTCAGATACATTTTGTAGCACCTTAATTTTGGACGTCTAGCTGAATGCATGTTCTGGCCCTGAATGAATAATGATAAGGATGTAGGTCTTCATGATATGTGTTGCGCCTTATTAGACTAAGATGCAAAGAACTAGTTAAAGATATATAAAGCTAGAGATGAGTCCTACAAAGTGGCCTAAGCTATTATGGTGTATAAAGGACAAGCCTGAAACAAAATTGATATCTAAAATCTAACACCGCCTATTTTGATGGATGTAGATACCTTGTACCAGCTGATTTGACAGTGGGTCAGTTTGTTTATGTGGTCCGTAAAAGGATCAAGCTCAGTGCAGAGAAGGCTATCTTTGTTTTCATCAATAACACTCTACCTCCAACTGGTAAGTGGTCTTGGCTGATAAATGCCTTCCTTTTTTGTGGTTGCATATTTATGACAGTGCCTGTGAACTAAATCTGCTTTTTCCGATGGTGTTGCAGCTTCCTTAATGTCTTCTATTTATGAAGAAAATAAGGATGAGGATGGCTTCCTTTACATGACTTACAGCGGAGAAAACACCTTTGGATCTCAGTAGATACATTCTATTTTGGTCTCCGGCCTCTGTAAATAACATCATGAAGTGTAAATTCTCTGCTATCGCCGATCAATGCATGACGTGTTTATTCGTTATGGTTTAAGTAATTTCTGGGTAATATTACCGCCCTAGACCTTGACTATGTCCATTATCTTTTAACCTACTTGAATTGAATCCAGTGGATTAATCTAGTCTTGTGATTTCGCATATGTATTCTTTTTTGCCTTTTTCTGTGTGACCCAAAAGAGGGGAGGGGGTAGCGCATGTTGCTTACATTTCAAAATAATTAAATTAACACTAATATAATATTAATGATAACTTAGGTTATTTTTCATTAAGGAGGCTAATTAAGGTTAATTAAAACTAAACTAGTGAGCTAAACTAATTAAGAGTTGATTGATTTTAGTTAATTAAACTAAATGGACAGATTTATAAAAATTTAATTAACTAGTGAAATGAAAATGGGAGTGAGTGGAGTCTTAAGAGTTGTTGGATGTTAGATTTCTTGTCTATTTTTTTAGTTAGGCTTAAGTTAATTTTTACTTTCTTGATCAAATTAAACTCTTTATATAATTTTGTATAAGTGTGTCTTTCTAACCAATTTAATTAACCAAGTTAATACAATTTTTTATAAGTCTCTAATTAATTCCTTAGTTAAGTGAAAAGTTATCAAAATTTTCCTTAAGTTTTCTTTTGTATAGCTCGGCCTACGTAGGTTTAATGCATAATTTTACACAGAAGACATTTTATTAAACACCAACCAAATATATTTATGCATAGTCAATGTAAAACACATTCAACACATATAAACCATATCTTTATATGAATTATAATGTATTGGAGAAAATTTTCAGCTATTACACAAAGGAGAATCAAGTGAAAAAACACTAAACCAATAAGTTAAATATCTATTTTGGTCAATAAAAATAAGATATAATAATGCTCCTAATTTTGAGAACAAAATTACATCAATTTAGTTTAATGGAGAGTGGTCATAACCCTTAAGCTTCCTTGTGATATTTCAAGACTCCTCTAGCATCCTTCCTTCTTAACACTTCTTATAGATTTAGCCTTTAATTATCTTTGAACCCATTTGAGCACAATCCTTCCACCATGGCTAAATCATACTCATGAACACCTTGAGAATTTTGAAGTCAAATAAGAAAATGAAACTTGGGTTTGAAGAGTAAGGTAGGAGAAGAAAAATGATAAAGTTGGATTAGGATTTTGATAGTTGATTCATGAGATATGGAAGAGAGAAGATGAGATGGTGAAAGAACATGAAGAACAATGGAGAGAGAATGGAGAAGGGTGGAGGTTGAAAAATAAAAGTGAATGGAAGAATAAATGCTGAAAATAAAATTAAAGTAATTTGATTCAATTTAAAGTGAATGAGTCCAACTCTAGTGTTAAGAAAATGGATAAAAAATGAGCTAGGGTAATTTTATTATTTATCATGGTAAAATGGACGAAAAATTCAAATGAAAATGATTTAAAAATTGAATTAAATAAAGCTGAAAGTAATGAAAATTAAGAGAGTGAGTGAGTGGATTCAAATTGTGGTACAATATGAGTAATATCATGTAAGATTTGTACTTTCACCCCAAAACTCAAGTGTTTTATCTTTTGACTCATCTATTATTTTAATCCAATAGTCCTTATCTGCCAAATCTAAGTGTGTAACCCTATATTTTCAAAACATATGAATAATAATTGCATTTTCAATTAAAATTAATTTTCAAATATGTCACATAATGCAAGTAAATAATAAAAGTTAATTATGACATCATAAAAGAGCCTTTAGGGCGTGTCAAATAGCCTAAAAATTGTAAACCCACACATGCATAAAAATAACCTAGCTAAGTGCAAGAAAAAAAGTCAGCCCGAAATTTTATTTTAATTTCAATTTTAAAATTAAATTGTAAAGAGTTTGAGAAATCTAATTAGACCATTATTTTTTTAGACTAAAAGTGCATCTTGAATAATTTTTTCAAAAGTCTAATTTTATGAACAAAATGACTCTAATGTACAGAATCCTACGCTTAATGATCTCTCACAATTAATGCAATAAGTGTGTAATTTAGATAAATATAACATGATTTGTGATCAATAATAATAAAAAAAGCGTGTAATAAATGTGAGTTATCCGAGGGACCCCAACCCTTTCACGCATCTCTCATTATTCTTATTTAAATATGTTACGCGCAACCACCAAAATGATTGGTAAAGATTTCAGTTTAATTATTTTACAAAAATTTCTTTCGTAAGTATAAGTAAGAATTATGTTATTAACACAAGATTGTGTGTCATTTACAACACTTGGCCGAGGTTTCTTAAACATTTTATCTCTGAGACTAACGAAAATAATCAAATTAGATTGTGAAGGTATGATCATAAACACATCTTTCTATTCATTTTTTAAAAATAAAACTGGATGAAATTAGATGAATGTGACTCAAGTGAGAGCGGAAATTGTAAAATTGTACATCAGAGACAAGTCAGTTGCTTAGGAAATTACTTCGTTCGTTTACTATTGTATCTATAGAGACCAAAGATCATTCTGTGGCATCTCGGCTAATATTTGCATGCAGACCAGCAAACACAGACGCGCATAAAATATAATCATGCATATAATTTTTTCTTCATCTTTTTTTCCCGTCACCTTTAGATCTGTTGTCTGCCAGTTACTTGGTTGAATCAACTATCTCTGCAATTATGTAAAGTTATCTGTCATGTTATTAGTGCATGAGTGGTCATCAATAATGCTGTGTAATGCCATCAACCTTGCCCTACCGATCCATAATTGTGTTTTCACCCGGAAGCAACGGTTTTTGCTCTTCAATCATTCAAATAACCTTGTGGGCCAAAACACAGAGATTGAGGAGGAATAGGAAAAAAAAGAAAAGAAAAGAAAAGAAACATGCAATCAAGTTATGTTTTCCCCCTTTAAAGCAAGTTGGGTTAAAAAAAAAAAAATTGGATGGAACGAAGGTTCAATGGAAACTTATCCTCAAGAGAATCGCATCTTTCTATTTATTATATTTTAGTTAACACAACATCATGTTGAATGATGCCGGAACAAGTTGGAATTTGGCACAGAATTAGAAGCGCACATGATGGTGTTCCTAAAAGAATAGCATAACGATATAATAATACTCATTACTTGGATGTACTTTTTCTCTTGCACTGGTTTTTGATCCATTTGACACCACCTTTAATCTTTTGTATTGGTGCAAAACCGCCCTTACCATCTGAATTCTTGTTCTTCTTGTCTGTGTCTTTTTGGGATCTTGTGTCTTCTTCGTCCATTGCGCCTACGCCTCCTGCACCCCATTGATCTGCCCAACTTGGTGCTTCACTCTCCATTGTCTTTTGATGCTTCCCATGTTTAGGTTGTCACAGAAACAAATTTGGATTATCAGCTTCACAAATTTGGATTATCTAGATCTTTCAGTGGAGGATGAAATATTTGTAGATCAGACATCCAATACCTTCTCGTAAAACAAAAATTAAGGTTCCTAAGTTACTGGTTTAGCTGGTTAACAGAATGAAGTTTTGATTATGATCAGTTTCTTTTGTGAAGAGATCTAGATATGCAAAACCCATCTCATAAAACTTCAGAAAGATTTCAAATATGAGACCAAGATTGAAAAAGGTGTTTCAACATTAATACTTCAACATATTCAAAACTCATCTCACAAAACTTCAGAAAGATTTTAAACTTACAAAATAAACTTGACAAAGAGGCATGGAATTTATGAGTTTATTGGTGACAGATAGAACTTCAGATTATCAGATTGACACACAGATAGCTTTTCAATAATGGAAAATGAAATACTCATAAGATTCAAATCCCATGTGGTAAAACATGAAAAGGTCTCAAATTTACAAAACACTGACCAAACCAATGAGATTTGACAGAGGAACAAAAAGAGTACCTTGGATTGAGGAAGAGTGGACGAGAAGCTTGAGGAAGGAGTCAAGAGGAACAAGAACAGAACAGAACAGAGAGCTGAATCAACTTGGAACCTAAATAGAGAGAGAGAGAGAGATGTTTGATGAGTTAGATGGCTTGTTTCATTGCTGCTGGTTTTTTGTTTTCTTTTCACAGTATGATGTGTCGTGATATGCCAACTCACTTTATTTGGGCATTTCCTTCTGATTAAGCAAAGTCGGAGCGCCTAAGGCATCTTTCATTATTAAAAGGGTCTCTTTCTCAGCCTTATCCCATTAACATAGGCACAGATGCCTTGGCCAGCTTTCTGGGTTAACTGTCACACCACGCTTTTCTGAAACTCAATTCCCATCAGCTATGCTATGCTTCTGAGCCATCTCTATAACTTGATCAGATTAGATTCTCAAACTTTGTTCAACTGAAAATAAAATATATAAATTCTAATCCCCATGCTTGTGTAAGATTCATATTCAAGTATTATTGGATTCATATACGAAGTTTTATGTTTCATCACTTAAACTTTCTACAATCTATATAATCCACCCACAGTTTAAGTCTTTCACAGGGGAAAGAAATCCTCATGCTGGGTGCAATATTCACTTTTTGGAATACAAGACACAGATAATCAGTGCAAGGAATAAATAAATTAAGTCATATCAGAGACCAAAATGATCTCTGCCTCTTGGGAGTCATTGTAGATAATAATATCAGAATTGTTTCCAGGTACTTGATGAAAAAGGAAATCAGCACATTTATTTACTCATTTAACGTGATCAAAATTACAATGGTAGCATTGGGACCCTGAAGGTCATGAGATGCAACATTTTTACAATTGATAATTTAATAATTTAAAAAAATAGTGTACCATACATGGTTTCATGTTATAGAATTATTAAACAATCATCTCATTGTTGATGTTAAGAAAAATATCTTTATCAATATAAGTTATTAGATAATTATTCATTAATAAATCTTCCGCACATTTTGTAGTTGATTTTTTACAAATTTTATAATAGAAAAGACTTATTTTACTATTGCCATTGCAAGTGGTAATATCATTCATAACTTTAAGAAAGCATAAAATTTTTTAGAACCAAACATCTTTAAAGTTAAATTAAGGGGTGCAAAGTATTTAGAACATATAAACTCTTGTGATTTTTTCTAAGTTCGGGGAGTGTATTTGCCCCCTTAAATTCTATATAGCATTGCCCATGGTCAAATGTGATAACTCAAAATCTCTTAATAAAATTTTTTAATTCTAGTAATGATAGTATATCGTGACAAAATGTGTTGCATGAGCGTCGTTAATAGTATATCGTGATAACCCACCTTTTTTGTTAATAGATTTAAAATATTTTTATTTTTAGTGGCTAGTGACTGAAGGATCCAAAAGGGGGGTGTAATATATATGCTTTTTTTTTGTGCAATATTCTAACCTTTATTTAAATCTGGCTAAAATATGTTAACAGAAGATTAAAGAAATGAAAGATAAAAACTATGTTTTAACATTTAATATAAATATTTGTTGTTGCCATTGACTGTAAAGGCCCCTAAGGATATGCATTAATATAAGTAAAATTGGCTTGTCAAGTATTAATTATTAAAAACTGAATATCATATGTTAATCTCATTTCAGAATCGGTAATTTTTATGTAATAAAAAATGTGAAATTCAGACTTAATTAGTGGCTTGACATGACCTAAAGATTATGCTGATATTTTTAAATGAATTATTTCTAATAATGTCGACATTACATTGGTCCACTTCTAATTAAGGCTAAACAAACCCGAACAAAACCAATCTAATGAAAACTGAGTAAAATTGATTATCAATAAAGCTTGGTTTGGTTTTATAAATTTAAAAACTCAATGATTTGGTTCAAACTTTGATTTTTTTTGGGAAAATTACATATAGATTCCACATAATGTGCTGTCAAAGGCCTTAATTAATTTAATTGTTAATAGAACTTATAATAATTAATTTTTTTGTGTGGGACTTTAACGTAATTATTCTTTTTTCTTCAATTGAAATCTTTACCAAACCTAAACCATACTTTTTTTATTTTAAAACATATTTTTCATGATTAATATTATATTATTAATGTTTATTTTTAAAACTTTTAACTTCAACTAAAGTCCAACCCAAACCCAAAATATTTTGATAGAATCTCTAACTCTTCCTTTCTTAATTTTTCTATTAAAGAGTATATACTCATGCTACTTCAAGAATGATGTTTAAATAATTATATATATAATTTTCCTTTAATTTTTTTATTTAAAATGTTTTACTTTTTATTGTAAACATCAAGACAATTTGTAATCAAATTTAACTTTTGTTGTTACTTACAAAGTTGAGAATATGACTTGAAGTTGAAATATGAAAAGGAAAAAAGAGTAAAAAATTATGGTTAACACTAATATATTATTTTATATGTTAAAAAAAAGTAAAACATGATCCATGTATAAATCAAATCAAATCAAACAAACAAAAAACTGAACCAAATAGATCTTAATTAAAAAAAACTAATCAACTATTATTTTTTATGCAAACTGATAAATTTGATTTGGTTCATATTTTGACCAAAATTGAACCAAATCATACATTTGATCGCCTTTACTTCTAATAACAAATGATCAGTTGGCGATAAAATAAATATGTGTGTTACACGCTACACTAGCTCTTCTTAACGATGTCCTGTATGATTCTCAATTACACTTCATGTCTTCATCACTCATCGATCATTTGAATCTAGCTAGTAAACATGAATCCCTCAAAATAATACTATTGTTCATTCATTCATTCATTTATTTCAAGCTTCTATACTAGAACATAGCATATAGTTATTCTCCTTAAAATGGTACTCTCACTTTTCAAATTGTGAGACACTTTTTCCTAACAAAGCTTGGTTCAAAATATAGGATACTTAGTATTTTTTTAAAAATATCTTTGTATTAATCATGTGGTTATGGGAAATTCTTCGTAACAAAAGCATTAAGAGTAAACAAGAAAAGATATGTCATTTTTATATGGAAGTAAGGAAATATATATTTTTATTGGTAGGTAAAATAAAATTGAAAGCGTTTTACGGTTTAGACCGAAAGAAGTAACAGATACGTTGATATGATCATGTATGTAAAGATACAAAGCTTGATGAAAACGTGAAGTATAAGATGTTTCTTTTTTTTCCCCCCTGAATAATTAGGAGCGCTTTACATGACTGGGAAATGGAGATGCGGTCTAAGATTACATAGAAAAAATAAGATTTGAAAAGAAAAAGGGAAGGGCTGTGGAAAGAGAAATAAAGATGGTTGGAGGAGGGAATGACTTTAATGGTAAGGAAGAAGGATACATGAATGGCGTGGAGACAGACACAAAGGTTGAGGTCAATGGAGATCCATTCAAATGTTGTACCACTAACCCAACACTCACAGTAATGCCATCTCTTTCCAGTCAAATGAATCGCTTGCTTTCTCCTCCAACCCTAACTCATGTTCTCTATTGCAACACTTCAGAAGGAAAAAAAAAAAGCCTATATCATCGACATAAAATTATAAAATCTATAATAAAACACAGTATTCACAAGTTATAATTCAAGCTTTTATACATCTTGACCATATTTTTTTATACATTTTTTTTATATTCAGACTATCACTATTAGGTTAAATTCAAATGTTGTTGAGTCTAATTAAAGTGAATATTTCAATATGATTTTTTCCTATTGGCAGAGCTTAAACCCTTGAGTCTTGACCCTGATTAAAATAAAATAAAGTCAATTCTACTCTAGATAAGTTTTACGAAGAATATGTTTAATATATTTACATGGTTCCTTACTATATTAATTTAATCTTGACCAAAGCTTTTATTTGCATCTAAGTACTAAGCTTTAGCATAAATTTCTGTGATACTACGTAGTGCGTAGTACAAGGTATGCTTATCGCACATTTGGCGATTTAGATCGTTGCAAGATGAGAATGATACTTTGATCTGCCTATATATTTTACTTTTGACTCTGAAACCTTGAATATTAAGCTGCGAGATGCCTAACTTGACAATTCTGGTATTTTATGCTTCAGATTCATTCTTGTCTGTTGTCTGTTGACGGTGCATTCGAAGCTCGTTCTTCAAGAATCATCCCGACATAACAGAGTACTTGCATTGTGCTGGTGCATTCTTTTCATTCACTCTTCGTTTCTGGACTCTGATGATATGTCACTGACGCCAAAGGCAAAAGAGAGAAAAATAAAATAAAATAAAGGCAGTGTAGGAAACAAGTACCAAAATTTCTCCTACTTGATCAGATCTAAAATGGGAAGTGATAATCATTGAAGTATGCAAATTTAATTCAGGTAAGAAGAAGAAGAAGAAGAAGAAGAAGAACGCAAATTTAACAAAGAATTTGAAGGATACTCTTGTATTTAATTGAACTTAAGCATCACTCTTACAGCTAAATGACTCTCAATGCCTTTAATCCATCTGAAGCACCGTCTATCAACAGTTTAATCACTAAATTGTCAGAAAACAAAAATCGCCACAAAAAAACTTGACTCCTGGCCCTAATCAGTGGCAAAAATTGAAGCTTGCCATAAAGTAGCATTCATCAGGTTCATTCCTCTTTCTTCAGCTCCAAATCCAGAAATGATGAACAAGATAAAATCTAAACGAGATATTTTCTGTAGAGATAAAATTAAAAGAACTGTATGAACAATGAAATGTAAAGAACGGATGGGTACACTAACTTCATTTGCTTCCAAATCTCTCTCCTATCAACATCATTCTTCTACCATTCAGATGATTAAAGAAATTAGATGGGATATATCTACATTGTTGAGGGGCAACACTTGTGAAAATCACGTACCCAAAATATACCATCTGTCTCTCTTAACCGTTCCTTCCAAGTCAGATTCCCTTTTGTTATGTTTCAACCTCTACTTCGACTTCCTCACAGACTTAGATTTCTTCATTTTCCGTGATTTGTCATCCACACTGGTCCATGTATATCCAGCAGGAATAGCAAAAGGGTCTGAGTCCAATGCCACCGAAGTGCTTCTTTGTTGTTTATTCTGGCTATTATTTCGTCTAAGCCATGTGGATGCGACAGATGAGGAAGAAGAAGTTGAAGACGATGACATGAAGGAAGAGCTGCTGGAGGTTTCTGGTTTATGATGTTCATCTCTCCCGGCATTGAGCAAATGTCTGGGACTAGAGAAAGGGGTGAAAAATTGCTCCACAGGCTGAAGCTCAACGAACTTGGTGAATGTAATTACAACTCTCACTGTAGGGACCACGGGGATGGCCAGCTGCCACACCAAAGCAAATCAAACGAAGAAGCCATCAAAACCTGATCAATAAATAATCTACCTTTTGCAAAAACCATTCATTAATTCAATCAATTCTATTGCCTATTTGCATGTGAGTGCATTAATATATGTAACTGTTTGTGGGAATGCGAGGCAATCAATGGTCAGCCACCCGACATGGCCGTGGACATGGTTCACACCCAAAACCATGGGACCTAGCTCCCCGTGGGAGTGCCAGGTCAACTTTAGGTGGGACCAATGACATTGTCCGAGGAACAAGGCACCTCGGATGGTTTGGGTCCCACGACCAGAGAGTGACCTTTGATGCAGATCTTACTGATCAAAGAGCACCGTGTCATTGTCACATCACATTCGACCAAAGCCTCTCCAGAAATCAGAGGGCTTTTCAGTCTCTTTGTCCCGGTGCGCAAGCCTAAAAAGCGAAAAGAGCACACCCGCACACCCTCTCCAAAAAACTAGATGAAATAAAAAGAAAAGGTAAAATAATAAGAACGTCAGATAAAAAAAAAAAAATGGGTTTGATCAAAAACCAATTTTTGGGTTTAGTTATAACTTGGGGAACTTTTCTAGGGGGAAAAAAATTTCTTCTTCCAATACATTCTGCCCTTGACCGAAATAAATAAGTAGATTTTGTCAAGTAAAACGCATTTCCCTTAATTTTTTCCAAATTAAAAATGTAAAACTTCAACTGCATTTCTGTTTCCATCGAAAACTTAATTTCAATCAGAAATTGCCACCCCGCAATGACAAAGCCATAGAGCGATAGAGGCCCAAATCTACGTAGCTCCCTTGCATTTTGCCTATTCCATGGACTCAAATCGTCCCTTTTAAGGCTATTCTCTTCTTAAGTTGGAATTCAAACGCTAATTCTAATTGGTGAACTGTGAAAGTAAAGCACGCCCATAAATATAGCTCCCTGCCCACGAAGATAATAGGTTCTACTTCCACAAATTTCATTTAAAATAGTAGTAAACAATAGTAATGTTTTTGAGAAAAAAAGTAAGAAATAAAAATTTTTCAATCAGAGACCAAGTTTATGAGTGACCTTACCTTCACCGGAAATGTCCCTGGCGGAAACTTGGTGGTGAGCAGCTCCCTCATCCTCCTAACCGCTTTGACTTTGTTGGCTAAAATGTCGAGTAACGGCAAGAGCTCCTCAGTCTTCAACGGAAACTGATCCGTTAACCAAACTGATGGTCGTAAACTTCTCACATACTCCTTTTCCTTAGTTTGTGGTGTCGCCACTGTAACGTTTGCGGCAGACCTCCGCGGCGGTGGGGCAGCCATAGATGGTAGGTCCACACTTTTCCTCCCCAATGGGACCCACTCCCTCTCTTCTCGAACGAAGCTACTGTGTCTTCTCCTGTCAGGCATCGGCAAACCAAAACTCGGATTCTCCGCCACGAGAAATCCGTCTTCGTCTTCATCTAGCTCTAATGGAAGAACTTGCTCGCTCCCGGCCACGTCAGAATCTCCAGTGGCCACCTTTCGCGACCGGAAACTGAAAATAACGTTGTGGACTTCGTACACTCTGGCTTTCCATTCACCCACGCTTTCCGTTTTTTCTTGTCTTCTCCAATTTGTTCTACCAACTAATTCAGCCCTCGTGACATCCATGCCGGGTCGGTAAACGCTGGTCTGAGAACAGAATCCGATGGCGTCGGAATCACTCATCGGAGCCCCTGCATTCTCGAAAGCATCGAAGATTTTGCGCTCGTCCCGGTTAATAACAAGCAAGGAACCGCAGGGAACATCGTGCGCATGATCACCATCACCAAGGAAGAGGAAGCTCTGATCAGCACGCTGAATCTTCAAACCATCGAAGCCCGCCAAAGATGTATCCGCGCGTAAATTACCGTCACGCTTCCAGATTTTGTAAGTATCAGACGGAGCAATCTTACCTACAAACGGAATCACAGAGCTCTCGAAGTGAAATGAAATCTCCATATAGAAATCCCTCATGCGGCGAAGCACAGCAATCAAACGAGGCAGCCGCCGCCGCCACTTGGCCCAAGCGGAACGGTGGTGAAGGCGGAGAAGGATGAGAGCAATGTCGGAGTTCCGGCGACAAAGCGCCTCCTGCAAGGCATTCCAGCCAGCCGAATTCTGCAAGGAGACGTCGGCCCCGGCGGTGGCCAGAGCGCGAGCGGCAAAGGCGTCGTTGAGACGGACAGCGAGGTGGAGAGGGGTCTCTCTGTAGGGAACATCACGACGGTCGAGAACGGAAGAGATCTTGTCGGCTACTTGCTCCTGAGCGAGGGAGTCGGACTCTGTACGGACGTGCGCCGGATCGGCGAGTCGAGGGAGGGAAGAGATAATGCGGGAGAGAGTGGTGTGGTCGGCAAAAACGACGGCGTAGTGAACGGGACTGTGGGCGTAGTGTTCTGGCTTGATGGCCGGAAAGGACGCCGTGGAGGCGGACTTGGCCATGTCGGAGAGTGTGATATAAGGCGTTTGGTTTGGTGAAGCAGTGATGAGGGAGGGTTAAGGAAGATGGAGGAGGAGAGGAGGGAGGGGTATTTTGGTCTAACGGACTGGCGAGGAGGAAGGAGACATGGAGATGGAATTGAATTGAATGAACGAATGAGGAAGAGGCACGACTTTTTGTAAATGGGACTGACTGTCCTAACGGCAGAGGCCTCTGCTTGCAGATGAGGAAGCATTAGTCGCGTCAGTTACCTTTATCTGAGGTTATTCTTGTCATTTCCTCAAAAGTAACTGTAGCGTTATTGTTTAAAGGTTTTTCCTTTCTGAATTTTAATATAAGATAAATTAATTCACTAACTTAAAAAAAATATTTAAAAACTATTAATTAATTTTTTAAAAATTTAAAAATATGATAAATTTAAATTAATATATAAAATATTTATTATTAATGTATAAATTTATTATTATTTAACCAATAACATAGCAATAATGTCACTTCGTTAAGATCTTAAAATTTAATATTCAAACTCTCCATTAACATGTGAGTTTGTAAAAATAAATAGATTGAATGCCTCTTTGGATTTGACATAATTTATTATTTTAGAAAAATTTAACATTCCAAAACATAATATAAAATATTATTAATTAAGAACAATGCTTACATGACAACTATGCAGACTCTTGGTTTTAATTTAATAATTTGATTGATTGATGAATTAGGGTGGAAAAATTATATTGATCCTCCTAGTCTTTTTTAAGGAATGAATAAATAATTCATTGGGATTAAGAAATACATAGACTGAAAGATTTTCCCCATTGGCTAGAGGAGCCAACAATGAATTTCCAGGATGTGAAGAGAAATTGTGTTGCATTTTATGGACTCTCATATCGCTGGATTTAGACAATGAAGATGGGGATGGTCTTTTACTTCGTTCGGATCACCAAGATAGGGTTAGGTTTACATTAATAGCTTATCCTTTTTTCCGCAAACCAAAGTCAATATCCGGGCACCCTTCCAATATTCCTAAAGTAAAAATTAAGGATCGAGTCTAATAATTTTATTTAAATAAAAGTTTAATTTTTGAATAATAAATTTTTTTAAAGTAATTAAATTTAAGGATTTAGTCTCAATAAACTTTATAAAAAAAAACGTTTGGGTTTGGGTGACTCTTCAAATTTTGTTATATTATTATTATTATTTTTTAGTGGAACATGCTTTTAAAGTTAAGAAGGACTTGCTCGCCTGAAGCTAGAGCCAAGAAAACAGGTTGAGCTCGTGGGCTAGCTCGTTTAACCCACATAATTTGACAAGTTGGGTTGAAAAAATTAGCTCATTTTTAAAAACGGGCTGGGTTAGCCCAACCCGCAAAAACCGCGGGTTAAAACGGATTAGCATATTTTTTTGAAAATAATTTTTTATTTTTTAATTATATTATATCTTTTTATAAATCTACATTAATGATAATATTTTTTAAATATATAATTTATGACTTTTAAATATGTTCTTTACATTTGAAATATAGTGTAAATATTTTTTATAATTTGCAAATAAAATTTTTGTTATAGTTTATGAAGATGATTTATTAGTTTTTTATAGAAATGTTTTGAATATATATTATTTATTAATCTATAAGATCTATTGATTAAAATTATAAATATAAATTTACTAAGAAAAATAATATGGGTTTATATTCAAATTTTTTTCTTAGTGACAAAAATAGCACACCTAAGTGAGAAGATGATTATTGATTAATAGTAAAAATCTAGCAAAATGAATTTGCTTGGTTGAATTCTATATTTATTTTATTTATTTATAAGTTTTTTAGTTGCTAATTTGCTTTAAAATTATATATTTACGTTATATAAATTTTAAATTATTAAAAAAATTTGATAATTTTTTGCGGGCCAGCCCGCGGGTTGACTAGCCCGCTAGAAAATGAGTTGGGTTGGATTTTTCAGCCTGTTTTATCTGGCAGGTTGGCCCAACCCAACCCGCAAAACTTTCAACCTGCACGGGCTGGCCCGCAACTCGTTTGCCCAGTACTACCTGAAGCCTTAATCTTATGAGTGTTATATTATTATTAATTTTAATTTAATAAATAAAAGATTATGAGAGCTTTTTTTTAATTTTAAAATATTTTAATTAACTTATAGTGTTTAATTTTATTTTAATTTTATTAATTTTTAAGAATAGAGTTTATGGACATAGTCTTAAGCCCTTCTAACAAAGGTTGAGCTTCAAAACAAAGATGAAAAATAAAAAATTGAGTTTAAGGGCTTAGGCCTATATGGGCCGGATTCAGAAGAGCTAAGTCCTTCCATTTTCCTAGCTCTAACTATTTCTTTCTCTGTAGAATTTTTTTTATTTCGGAGCAAATTTTCCAATGTAATTCTTTGTTGGGACAAAAGATTAATTATTTTTTTTATATATAGTAAAGAGAAAAAAGGGAGGGTGATGCGTTGAGTATGACCGTTGGTAAGGAAATAAGGATGGAGATATGGTCAAAAGTGGAAAAAAAGAGAAGATTGATAGGTCCAATGCTGAGACAGAGGGAAGGGGGGACGCTTTTTAAAAAAAATAAAAAATAAAAATGAAAATAATGGAGAGAGGAGGCTGTAGAATGCAGGTATGAAGAAAGCAGGTAAAGTTGGGCATACAAATATGGGACCCTCTTGTATGCAAGAGTGCATGCATTTTCGCAAACATATTACCCCATTCCTGGTCAATACCTGCCTCTTCCGTTTCTACTTTTACTGAGAAGACATTCTATACAACACAGCTTCATATTTTGCAGATTCCCCTGCCAAAATATCTTCCCACACGGCCTCTTTCCAATACTTCCTTCATGGTGTGTGTGGTTGTTGCATACATGTGAATTCAAGCTTATTTTTTATAACGCTGGTTCTTGGTTTTCAAAAACTATTTGTTCATACAATATTATTCTTCATCAAATGTTAAAATCCTTATAATATTCCCCCCAGGCTAATAGTCAACCACTTCATATTGTTAAGCTTTCCAATGCCAGTTGCTTTTCTATGGATAATTAAGAGATAAAATGTATTTTAATCTCTTATATATTATTTGTGATAAAAATGAGGTATACTCAATCAAGAAAAAAATATGAGTAAAATATAATATCACTACTTAAAAAATGTAAATTAATGAGAAATTATCTATTTCTATTTGAAATACCAAATTTATAAGGGATATTAATTTCGTAGCTTGATATAAAATTAGTAAAGAACTATCCATTTCTTTTAAAATAAAATAATTGTGAAGAAAACAATGAGAGACTGTTAACCCTTCTTTAAAATAAGATAATTAGTGAAAAAAAATAGTTAGAGATTGTCAATTCTTTTCTAAAATAAGATAATTAGTAAGGGAAATTTTTTCCTAACTAATTACTACAAAAAAAATTAACTTTTGGCAATTATTTTTAATTATATATTATATTTTTTCATTTAAAAATTTACTAAACTATTCACAAAATTATTTAAAATTTAATATTTTATCTATTTTAAGTTCATTTTCATTTATAAAATAATATTTTATTAAAAATACAATATAAAGAATAATTTAAATAAAATATAAATATTTTTAACATATTAATAATTGAAAATAAAATATAATATATGTGTGTATTTTTATAATATATTATTCAATATATTTGTGTGGCTAAACAATATATATTTAATTTCTCATATATGACTGTAAGTGCCTTTCAGTTCAACAAATAAAGAAGAAGAGCATGATTTAAAAGGTAGGATATCAAGGGTTCAAATCTAAACCTTGATATAAACATAATGAATATGTGACATGACGCAAGGCAAATGATGACATGTTATGAGTTGTTGCCCACGTGGTGGGTAATAAAGTTTGAAATGATAAGTGACATGGCGGTTGATGAGACACAAGGTTATTGATAACATGTCACAAGTTGATGCATATATGACAAGTGATGTGGCAGTATCATTTTTAAATATAGACATATTCAACCCTTGCTAAAGTTATTGAATTTTAAATAATATCAACAAGGGATATTGCCCTCACTAAATATTAACAAGAGACTAAATTCTTCACTAAATCTATAGCTAATCAATGAGAGAAATATAATCTCTCACTAAATTTAATGAGCTATTGTCCAGCAGTGGATGAATGGTAGTTTGTACAAGAGCTATTGGTAATTGAGGGGCGTTTGGAAAAATGACATGCATGAAACTATGATTTTTTATATTCTACACTTTGCACCTTCTCCATCTTATACTTTCATCCCTTTATTTTAATATTTTAAATTTTAAATTCATTTTCATTTTACTTTTTAACTTGATGTAAAATTTAAATTTTTTAATTCAAACCCAATGAATATTAGCTCATATTTCACTATACCTAAATATCAATATTATTTATTAATCCTTTAAAAAGTAAAAAACACCTAATTTGAAGCAATTGTGTTGTCCTCATAGTAAATATTAGTTAAGGACTGGTGAGAAAAAATTCAATGAAAAATAAGAATAAAAAATTCAAGAGTAAACTTATTAAATATTTTTGCTAACTTATTGCACGTGCAAGATTGTAAATGAAAGTTAAATTAAGAAATAAAAACAAAGAGTGAAAGAGGGAAAGAGGAAAAGAGAAATACTGAATGTAAAAAATAAATAAACAAACAAGTTTTTCTTGCGGTGAGAGTCTAATTTCGTAATTGGTCCTCTAACACAGAATCCTGGCTAAATATAAGATTTGGCTTCTATAAACACAGGAAGTGTTCTCATGGATTGCATGGTGGATGACGAGGGGAGGGAATGCAAGAAGATTGCTTTGTTTTGCTCAAAGGTTCGTAGCAAGACACCAATAGAAAAGGGACACTCGGGGGGATCGGATTCACGTTTACCAAAGCGTGGCACATCAAATAAGCTTACCCGCAAATCAATTGGCCCTCAAAAAGGGGGGGGGGGGGGGGGGGGGGCTTAGCTCACCGGCATTGCCCATAGGGTATAGGTAAATACTAAATACTTGATTCGCGGTCTGTTGTTGGGCTATATTTGGATTAAACAGACCGAGCAACAAATTTACCATTTCTGTTCATACGGCATGTACTTAAAGGTTCCAAATTCATGTCATCCAGATA